TCTCCTTCAATCATATTACATGATCGACTCCATCCCGACCTTCTGACGCTACAAGTCTCGCCCGCAACGTCTGTTCGCAGGTCCCCACTTGATCCTGTCCCCATTCATCTAGCCTGCTTCCCATATCTTACATACATACCTACATACCACTATACCACTTTTCCTTTCTGATTCCTCCAAGTTACTCGTCCACCATTATCAGCACTGTACGGCTAGTGCATAGGACAACTGCCACGCATTCGGAAACCCACTTCGTTGGGTACCAGGACAGCTCCGCCATTCCTGATTCAGTGACTGGATTCACTTATCAGGCACGCAAGCCCTCGGCATGGCGAAGAAGTCAACTCCTTCTGTTGCATACTTTGAGGAGGCGGACGACGACGGACATCTCATTCCCGGCGCTGAACCTAAATACGCCCGTTCCACTCCGAGCAGTCCTTCAAAAGAAAAACCTAACACCGGTAGATCACGCAAAGATTCGACGAGGAGAGAAAGATCACCTACCCCTTCCTTCTCAGATTCTGACACTACCGAACCTCCTCTCGTCTCCAAGAGAGATTCCAGATCCAGCAAGATGAAGGGAGATAAGAAACGAGATCCTATTGTCAAGCAGCAGCGTCCTGCTCCCCGCACGCACAAGACCGCTCCGTCGGCCCCATCACGAATTTCTGATGAGTCGTCTTATTATGGAATTCATCCTCAGCAGACCGTTGCCGCCTCCAGACCACGGGCTCGTACCAGACCTGAGTCTTACTATGGCCAACGACCACCCCTGTCAACATCAGCATACGCTCATCAGCCGCCGCCGCCGCACTCTGCCCATATAGGGCCTCCACCACCATTCGTGCCTCCATGGATGGCTGGACCGCCGCCGCCTCCAATGGCGCATGCACTAGTTCATCAGCCCATCGCTTCTCCCACATACTCGGAATTGAACCATCCTAACAGAGATTTGGCATCACGATTTCGTCGTCCTCAATCGGCTATGGGATTTCAACCCCCGCCTCCACCGCCCGAGTACGAGCCATCGAAAGAGAAGGCCCTCACAAGAAGGACATCTGTATCAAGGAAGGTTAGCAAGACCCACGACGAGAGAGACCGGATGCCTCCTCCTCCACGTCCGGCTTCTACACAACCGCCTCGAGAACGATTGGTATTCCGCCCGCCACCACCTTCCCACACAGCTTCAAGGAGAAAGTCTGTCGGATTTGAAGACGACGAACTTGTCGACACCGATCCTTCTATGTATAAAGCTGTGGCACGGCGTGAAGTAGAATACGGTTCCGGCGCTCTCCCTTCCTTTTCTCGACAGAGACACCAGAGCTTCGATGCAGAGTCGGTCTTTGACGTTGATCCTTCCTACGACATGGAGCAAGTACCGCGTAGCCGACGAAACTCATTCTACAACTTTGAGGATAAGGTACGTGACGCTTCTCGATATCAAGAAGACGTCAGTGGAGGAGGTGGACCGCCATTGACAGCCGAGGCCTTGCGTCGTGTGAAGAATGATGGTAGCAGCCGCTCAACTCGAAGCAGTGCAAGCCGTGACGAGAGCGACTATAAGCAATCTGCGACAACACGAACGACACGATCGAGCAGTGCAGATGATGACATCACGATCAAACTCCCTATGGGTGCCGTTATCGAAGTCGGAAACACTAAAATCCATTGCAAGGACGGTGGCGATATCAATATTGGCCGTGGTAATGGAACTTCCCGCGCGGGAGGTAGCGACCCCCCAGCTTCTACCTACGGCGATGACCGGAAGAGTCGGGCGGATCGATCAGTGGCGCGAACTCGGGCTAGTTCACAGGCCGGATCATACTCCCGTACACGCCACGCTCCGCCGCCCGTCTATGCACCCCCGTCTTCTTATGCTCCACCGTCTTCCTATCACTACGATGACTACTACAATTCTCAGTACCCAGCTCCTTACCTGGGTTACCACGATGATGATGATGACAGCGAGTATTCTTCTTAATGCCAAGTCGCTAAATTGGAGGAATCTATGAATTTTACGCTTTGTTTTTGTTTTACTGGGCAGCGGTTTATCTATTTTTTTGCCATTTACATTTGGGCATTTGAATACATTATGCAATCTTTCGACATTTTATTCTGTTATATCCTATCATATACCTTTGGTCTGAATACTTGTTACCTTAAAAGGGGTTCAGAAAACTATGATACCCGAAAATGGATCATAAAAGGCCCGCGGAATGGAAGCACAAACATATGTTCCCTTGCCAGATTCCCAGTGGTCGGTGGATTTTTAACAGTGTACACGAATCTACGAGTGGACGAGGTGGAATGATAGTCGGGTCATGGACTAGGGATTTATTTGCGTGGTGGGGAGGATGTGTAGGTGGCTGTGAGGTACGTCGAGCGGGCTTTGACTTGCGCTCTAACCTCACATCCACCTTAATCCTTTCAAGCCAATCGGGGAATAGGGGGGACGATATTCTATTTTTGTCTTTTTATTTTCTTCGCAAGAACTGGCCGTGCCATGCTGTTGTGCGATACCTTTTGCGCTTTCGAAGCCAATCCATTCGCATTCACATGGAGTAAGAGTTGGACTGATAGATTTAATCCGTTGGGCAAAATGAAGTTCGCACTTCTGCTGTCAGCGGGACGTTTATGATTTTAGCGCGCCGAGGGAGGATTTTTGTTGTTGTCTTCCTTCGGTACGGAGTTGTTTTCAATTGGATGGACGAGTCGACTCGAGAGGGCCAGGAGTTAGTTTGTACCCTGTGTGGCCTGGCCTGCTATTACGGGGATTTGGTGCGAGGAGCGCAAGGACGGTCGATCCGCCTGGGCCCTCGTGGTAGCTCGCATGGTTCGGGGTGTGACTGGTGGACGGCCGACACGCGGAGGGATTCGTCACGATCGCACGACCTGGGATGGCTTTTGGGACTTGGTCGGAATGTCCATTAATTATTGATCTATGTATAGATACGTATGTATGTGGATTATTTCGAAGTAGCTTACATGGGTCATGTTGGATATTCCCTTTTCTTTTTGCTTAATGAAGGAATTATGTCTTAAAGATTCCGTCACTTGTGCAGCTTGGTCTATAATGTGATGCATGTAATCGAGTGCAGATACGTCCCATCCCGCCGTGCGTAAGGGACTGACGACAGCATTGTTGCGCAAGCGAGTCGTCCGTACTCCGTAAGCTCATCATCTCGAAGGTCCCGCGGAATGCAGGTTGGCAGGGTTTCCCCGTTTCCCCACGCAGATTGTGCCACGTCTTTTTGCATCTACATATGTAATGTATGAATGTATGTATGTAGGTATACCTGCCTATGTATGTACATAATCGAACTACCTGCTACTAGCCAGTCAACTAGTCGGGGCGATATTAACTTGAGGTATTATTTTTTGTCCGACAATGATACATAAAATGACGCCTTATCGAATACGGCAGCTAGTCGCGCGAGTATTATTATGATCGTAGCTGAATGACGACTGGCTGACATACATAGGAGACTAACTTATCGACCTGTCGGTCCAGAGGGATTGTGGGATTGGGGTTGGCTTGTTTCACGTCCTTTCCTCGGGTTGGAGATTCTGACTGAGCTATGTCGATCTCGAGCTCGGGTTTACGTGCTGTTCACGATAATACTATGCATGAGTATTAGAGTATCGAGGTATCTTACCCCTTACTCGAAAACGGAATTCTCGACAGCACCGTAATAGAACTCCGTATGATCTACAAAGGCCTGAAATAGCGACCGAAAAAGGAAACACACTTTGACACCTATTATGCCATAAGTAGGTTCCTAGTCCAAGGGCGATTAATAAATATAGCAAGAACCAGACCTAGCTGGCCGCCGGTTCCGAGCTCCTGGGACAATGTCCAGGCTAGTGGTATCATGATTCAGCGCTTAGAAACGACGATAATGCCATGATGTTCATTAATAAGTCGATCGACTGACTTCAGTTATCGATTGATATGTTGCTGCTGCTCCCTTGGCTCAGGCGAATCTGAAACGTGACGTTCCTCCCTTTCCATCGCCATATGTACGGAGCTTACCTACTCTACATGTACTACCTTTAACACGAACATACTGCCTAATAGATCTGTCTAATAGGTAGTGAGAGGGACGGCGGGCCGCAATAAGCTTATTCGCTGATGTCTTGGAGCGGCTAGCGATACCGATTGAGTTTTAGCAAGAGTGTACGGAGAGACTCGGGGTTCTAATATTCGCATGAACCAGACCCTTTAATCTATTCCAGCCGTACGGTTGGTAGCTGACTCGGGCGCTAACAGGTGTACCTTTCGATGAAGCAGTCGGCAGAAGCTTTCACCAATCGACGTGTGGAATTGATCCGTGTAGTTCTTGTAATATAGTTGCAATAGGGATGGGGATGGGGATGGGACGATAATTCATGTCGATAATACATACATGATGTACCTAATAGGAAGAAAGGTACCTAACCTACGCACGAATAAGAACCCCGCTATCCTCTTTGAGATAAATTAGGTACATACATAACCTAGGTAGATATGTACTTCCTTGATCCGAGACTCTTATCGACTATTATCGATAATAGCCGATAAGTGTGCTGGCAGTGGTCCCACTTGTTGCTGGGTCAATTCCAAGTTGTTGACTTTTGACATCATTCTACCAACCTCCCCCCCAGCTGCCCCAGCCACACATTTCCGAAACTACGCTGTCAGCCATAGAAACCACCGGACAACCGCCTCGTTGTGCAACGTTTACCTTTTCTTTCTTTCCTTACTCACCCAAATCAACCGCTCACAACGTAACGTCAACAAGGTGCATGAGCGAGCACCTCTCAACAATACTTCCAGCAATTCTCACCTCGTGCATTCCAGATTGCAACGAGGGTGGGTTCGATCAAGACACCTTTCCAACATCAGCTTGGCTGGTTCTTCCAGTAGAATACCAGCCGAGTCATTAGTTTCACCAATTCTACTCCCCATTCCAACCAAATATAATAGCGTCGTTTATTCGGCACTTTCACACGCCACGAAGATGGCACCTCTACTGCCAAGTCTAGCGGCACACGCCCGTAGCTTGCTATCCGCAGCGAACGACCTCGCCGCCCGCTCGACGACTAATATCCCCAGCTCTTCAACGGATGCTCTACAACAACTAGGGCCCCTGGCCGCCCGCTCAATTTTATTAGCACGAGACGACGACAACAATGGCGAGCAGAAGGTCGACCCGCACAAGGGTGCCGTGCGGCCTCAAGACATCAACAATACATTCGTTTTCGTGTTATTCGGACTTATCGGCGCCGCCCTCGTGTGCACCGGCATCTGGTTTTTCTTCTGGGCTAAGAATGGTGGCTTCTACTTCAAGGAAGATGATTGGGATGACTACAAGTCCACTGTTCTCCGCCGCAAGGGTCCTAACGGCACTATCTTATCTAACGCTACCGCCACCACCCAACTTGGCGGCGGCTCCGTGTACAAAGACGTTGACGACGGCCGCACCGAGTACACTGGCGGTCTAACGCAGATCTCGGGCGACACAGGAAGCACTCTCACCGGAATCACAGCAGGCGCCTCTGATCTCTCCGCACGCGAACGTCGCCGCCAGAAACGCGAACGCAAAGACCGCGAACGCGAGAAGAAAAAGGACCGCCGCAACCGCGACAAAGCCGGCCGTCGCGTCGGCGAAGATGGCGTCCTAGTCGACGAACAAGCCGAGGCCGAAGCAAAGGACCAACTACGCGCGTACCGCAACGAGAAGGCCGCTCGCGTCGGCGGCATCAACAAGGAAAGCGAGGGCAGCACCTGGGACGGCTCGACGAACCCCGAAAGCTCGACGGCGGGTAGTGACCTCCACAGCAATCGGCACAGCAAGCACAGCGAGACCACGGCCGACGGCGCACGACACAAGAGCGGCGGTATTCGTAAGGTCTACAGCACTGCGGACCGTAATGCAGATCGAGAGAAACGTGCTGAGGCCCGGCGCCTGCGCGAGGAAAGCCGTGCCAGCGGTAGTGCTGGCGGTAGCGGCGTGAAACGCGACTACAGTTTCCAGCGCGCTCGAGCGGGCCCGCAGAGCGCGGTATCGTCGGGGGTGCGGGCAAGCACGATCGAGGAGGAGCCGAGGGAAATGGCCGAGAGCAGCGTGGGCGGTCGGTTCCTGCCGCCGCCGAGCGGATGGGTTCCCAGCGAGGTCAGCGCTGAGAGCGCCGATACGGGAACTAAGTCGTACCACCATGTTATCCCCGGCTTGTCGCCTAGCACGATAAGCGGCACGGATGTCAGGGATTATGCGGAGAATAAGGATAAAGATAAGAAGAAGAAGCGTGGGTCGAGGGGACAGCGGAGAGAATAGGGGGTGAACGGGTATGTGGGTGAGGGGGATGGTTGATAGGGAGGGATAGGAATAGGGATAGGGAAATGAGTAATGGGGGATGAGTTTAGGTACATGATCGTTGATTTCATCCGGTTTGCAACTGGTGGTAAAGGAAGGATATCATTGCCGTCTAACATGCTTCTGGTTCTTCATCATGTAAAGGACAAGCCCGGGAGGGGGGTAGATCCACATCGACGACACTGGTTTATTTTCTTTCCTCTTTACTTCGGCGGTCACGGATTTACGGTTACGAATAGTTGTTTCTTCCACTTTCAAGAGCATATGTCACGAGTGGAGTGGAAGGGGTGGCCGGATGGACTAAATACGAACTTGTATGGAACGATGCCGACGAAGTATCTCAGAGCAACTAATTCCTCTGTGATTCACTCTCAAGTAAACGGCACCAATGGCGTTTCTTGCTTTGAGGGCGTTTGCTTGGATGTTTGGGCTGCTTCGGCGGCATTCATGTAATTAGATAGCACAAGGTCGAGCACGGCCGTTAAATAAATATACAGAACATGAATGAAGACGATGACCGAATGGATTTGCATGTGCTTTAGTTTATCGGGTTTTGCCCGCTTGGCATCGCCATGACTTATACAGAGCATACGCCAAGATAAACTACGTCAAAGTACAAACCTCATTCCCTACTCTCTCATATATACATCCATGGTCTGTAATGACAGAATGAAATAAAGACGACGGATATTCTAGCCAGATAATAGGTCTATATCCACATATATATATATATATATATATATATAGACGACAGAAAGCCTATAAATACGGTATGAAAGCAACATGGTAAATTGAAAGCCGGAAATTATATTTTCTCGAGTAGATGACGGATTATTAGTGGTAGAGTAATAGGATGGATAACCACAACCCCTAATCCAAGCAAGCCAAAAATGAGTCAACGATAGATGCAGAAAGCTAAGAAGTTAAAAAAAAATCGAGAAGATACCAGGCCCGCAAGTTAGTATCCTGCCCCCATCTGTCTTTTGGTTATTCGTAAGACATGTAGTCGTAATGTCATGATAGTTCCTTAGATTCATGCGTCATTCTGTCCCCAATTTTTGAAAACCCCGGTATGCCATGTTGTATGCTGTCTTAGTGGGCGGTGCTGCATAGTAGAAACGGAAGCAGGATGCTAACTATTAATAGTTGTTGGTCCTTGCGTACCAGTGTGCTGTTTTTCCAATATCTATATCGTGGAAATCTCGCTTAAAATGTGGTGGCAACGGGTCGCCGTTGGAAGTGAAACGTAATTTGTTATAATATTACCGATCTCCAAGTCGGTGAACGGTGAACGCTAGTTATAGGCAGTAAAGCCATGGGGTAGATTGTGTAAAACGTATATATAGGGCAGTGCCGTTCAATGCCATGGTGGCCTAGGCCGTGGATGAACGTATAGTTTGTTAGGTGCGAAGCGGATTTACCTCCTCGACTTCTTCGATAGACGCATCTTCTTGTCCCAGCACACGTCAACAGCATAGCTGACGTTTTCGAAATCTTCTCCGGTAATCGAGCCGATGAAAAAGACCTTGACGTTGTGCTCAATGGTGACTAACTTAGAGTAGTTGACTCGAGACTCCTTGGCAAGTTTCTCGCCTTCCGCGTAGACCTGAAGTGCCACGGGGGTGAAGCCAAGTTCGGGTTCGTTCTTTAGAAGTCTAGGCTTACTCCCTGCCATGTATATGATCCCATGTTTGCTAGGTCTAACGCCTTTCTTTAGACATCCTCTTCGGTCGTACGTTAGGATTGGCCTATTCCTGTAAGTAGGTTGAAACATAAAAGAGGATGGGATAACTTACACGCAGGTGCTATGATGGCTCTCGTCCGTCGTAACGATGATGAACCTGCGGAAGCCAACATAAAATTTACTACCAGCCGCGGTCCTCCTTTTCGTTACGTCGGAAATCGGGTCATCGCCGCCGATTTGGCCGAGAGGTTCCGACCAAAGAATCTTGAACACCTATACGACACATTTAGCTATTGTCCCATCTTTAGCAAACATGTAAAAACAAGGTACTACTTACCTCACCTGGTTGAAACCGTGCTGAATGTTCTACTCTGTATCCTGTTGCCTACTTGGTCAAATATGAAAAATTGAAATTCCGAAGGTGGGCTTACGGCTATCTAGGATTTCTTCCATTCCCGGTGTTCCCTGAATATAATTGGCGTAAGATAGAGTTGATGGGATCATAGGACCCGAAACTGGCGAACCACCACGGGGTGTTGGTAGGTCGTCTCCGTTTGCTAGGGATGGATCTGCCTAGAAGTATCAGCCACTGTGTCAGCTAGAGTTTGACGTGGTACTGACTCAATTCGTATGCATTAGGGTCAACGGCAGCAGGCCAGGATGAGGATGTGGCTGCTTCTGCCACTGGCGTCGAGTAAGATGGCTCGCCTGCCTTTTGGTTTCCGTAGTATTCGCTGCGGCTCCTGCGGATAGCTTCCTGATATTCGTCGTCGTTGAAATCCTGGTTTTCCTCGGTTTCGTCGTAGGGATTCACTTGTGGCTCTGGAACGTTCCCAGCTGTACCAGCTACAACAGTTTCAGCACTTAAGTAATCCGAACCGGTATCTGGAATCATTAGCGTCTCGTGGTCGGCTCGTAACGATTGCGCCTTACATTTGGAGCGCGTTCCTTGGCTATAGTCGCCCATTGCCAGTTGCACCCCACGGGCAACTTGTGGTTGGTTGCCACCTACCGAGGAACTGCCATAATCCGCAAGCTGCTCAACTTCGAGAGATTTTCCCTTTCCCTTGCTGCTTTGCTGCTGCGTCTGCACATGATCAAGGTAACCAGAATCTTGGGGCTGGCGTGCGTCGTGTGTATAGCTAGCGTGATCGATGGTGGTAGCATGGTGCCCCCCATAATCAGGATACTGGCCTTGGTCGTATATACCTTGGTCGACACTAAGATGACCGACCTCTACAGCCAGGTTGTCAACCAGGTTGTTAATAGCGTCAGACCGTGGGATACTTTGGTCAGGGGCGTTAGGGAGGGTTGGCCCAATCCAATTATACTCTATGGTGCCTGATGAATGGTTCGTTAGCACAAACCAGGCCGGGAATTCGTAGGATACCATAAACATACCATGCCGGCCTACTCGTTCCGAATACCATTGCTGATATTGGTCGTGCCACTTGGGTTCGCTCCAAGGGCGCGACGACTTTTGCTTATGTTTCTGCTTTTGCATTGTGACATCTTGTATTTTTACTTCTCATGGGAAATGTCAACAGGCAAAGAAATATGCGCAATGTCTAAGTCGTGGGCAGAGGAAGCAATCACAAGCAAATCGGGGAAGAGGAGACGAAGCCGACGCAAACTGAGCCTTAAATCAGTTATGCGGCTCTGTCACTGATACGTTCTCTCGTCTTAAAAGAATAACCCTAGACCGTTATAAGGATGGCTTCGGTCGAGAAGACAGCCAAGAGTGTGGGACAGTTTTGGTGAACACTACGCCAGCACGTCAAATGCCTCTAAGGACAGAAGAAATCTATCTGATTTGACGGCTCGAAGTCACACTTTATGTCTCGTGATATAGTCGGTTAAAGGTCATTGGCCGTGACAGCTTCGCGGCAAAAGAAAAAGATGCAGTGCTCTCGTAGGAATCAAATAGCGTCGACAATGTGGGAATGAGAAGACGAACTGGCCAGGGATCGTAGGTGAACTAGAATTGGAAGCTTGTAAGGCCTAGGTAGGCAAAGACTATCATGTAGGCATGAGAGTGGGCAGCCAATCATCAAAGGGGATGGTGGTGGCTGCAACCTCGGCGTTTGTATAACGGACGGAGGAGTTTCCCTCAGGGCTCTCCGGAGAGGAGAGGGACATCCAGATGTAAGTGAGAGTGTGTCCGCATCGAGGATGGGACGGGGACGCGGGACGAGGATAGAGAAAGGCAACAGAAGCGGACGACCGAATTAAGCGGTTAATTATCAGAACGGGGACACAAAAGAAACCCGAGACATACTGTCGCGACGGAAAGCGACATAAACAACAGTATTCATAAAAAAAAAGGACTAGTAAGGCATGGTGGAAAATGGAGAGGGGGTGTGGTGCGTTCTTATCAACTTTTTGGGAATTTCTAATTCTCACTCCCTTGGCGGGCCGGCCCACCTATGTTCGCCTATTCTTCTCCGGTCTGGGAGTTCTTGTTACTTTCTATCGTCGAGGAAGTAAGAGGAGCAAAGAGGAGCAAAGAGGAGCAAAGAGGAGCAAAGAGGAGCAAGTAGAGCGGGAGCGGGAGTCTGGGTCTTCGCAGGGTAGGTAGGTATCCTAGGATCCGTTTTACTTTTCGACAAGGGGAGGGGAGCTCTAAACCTCTGCAGCCTGACAAAAGGGAGCAAATAGAGGAATCGTGGACCATCAAGCGGCAGCCACTTGGCGTAACTTAGAATGCCACTTGGGATGTCCACTAACACTACTGCAAGAGTACGTTGAGGGTACGTTGTCGAGTACGTTATAGCAGCCGCAAACGGCCTAGCTAGGTAAACAGCTAGACCATGTACTGTAGCAATGCAGAAGTCTCCATATTCTAAACGACACCCCCCACTAACCAGCGACCATTGACGGACGAGTTAGAGGGTTAGAGGAGTTGGGGTGTGTGCGAGGACCGGAGGGGTGCGTGAGGAGAAGTCGGGCAGATGCATCTAGGATGACAAGATGAGGCTCTGTTTAAAGTACTGCTCATCTTGTGTACAAGCTATAATATGTCATCAGGCGTGGACAATCGGTCGTGGACGTTGAGAGCCTCGTCATCTTATGAGGCGGGGGGGTTGCTTCATAGTGTTTTTCCCAACTCTTTTGCTTGTCCACGATTCCACGATTCCACGATTCCACCATGTTTAGGCGCTTAGATGCTTAAACGGCTGGACGGTTGGACGGTTGGAGAAAAACATGCACGTGTAAAGTAGAAGTTTGATAGCTCCAGTCTTTTTTACCACTTTGATCACTTTGATCACCTTATTAATCTATAAAAGGTATAGCGACTACTATAACTTTATATAGTTACTAATTGACAATTACCTATTCTGATTAACTCCAATGCACCTACCCACATTCAGATAAGGAACTACATAGCACACTAAGATATTGATTAAGTCATTAATTAAGACGTTTGATCGTAGGGCAAGCTAGCGGGAGGGGGGGATAGAGACTAACCTAACCTAAGGGTTAAGGGTTAAGGGTAAGGGTATTTTCATCGCTGTGGTGAGTGGGTCTACGCTAAGGCCCTGAGGGTCCCGCCCGGGGGAGCCGGAGTCGGGAGATACTACCAGTCTAGTTAGGTGGCCTTTTAGACAGGTAGGCAAGTACATAGGTAGGATGCTAGAATTATGTACCTACCTACCTACCTACCTAATGTGCCTAGGCCCCAAGGTGGGATACAAGTAAATAAGCTCCGACAAACGCTTAGCGCCACGTGCTAAATCTTCCCTAAATAAAGCCCAATAGCTGCAACGGCTACGAATAGCTGATGTTGAAGTTACTTACGCCGCCGTGCTAGGGGGTGGGCTTTGTGTAACTGGCCTTGAATCTAGCCTTCGTGGTTTATTTTTTATTTTTTATTTTTTGCCTTACCTATCGTCAATCTGCATCAAAACACCCTCTCGCATCACTTCCGCGTCACCTGCTCACCTATCGATTTTTCTGGTCCATAAGAAATAATAACAGCCTTGTCTGCAGAAAAAAACAAAGAAGAAAGAAAAAAAATAACGTATCCATTTCTTCCCCTAACGATGCTGCTACGGAATTCACAGTTGAAACGTCCTGAATGGCTACTAGCGTCGCCCATCGTCATGTAAATTTGGCTGATGATCCTTTGGTTTTTCTCGAAAGCTTCGAACCTCGTCCCCTCGAATATGACCGCCATCATGACGTATTATACGATCCCTCCACTGAATCTAGTAGTCAATTATCTATCATGTCGGCCGAGGACATACCCTTAGAGTTATCCCGTACCCTAACAACCGGGTCCGAAGGTTGGACTGATTCCGAAGACGACAACGACGATTCGTCCGTCACGTCTGACACTTCGCATGCCCGCATCGCCCGCCGACCACATTTTCCCCCTGTCCTACCCTCCGTAAATTCATCCTCTAGTATCTCCAAGAGTTTGCCACAGAAGCTAGCAGCAACCATTGCCGCTGCGGAGGGGACCGGCTTAAACCGCCGGCAACATAACCTAAGCAAATCGCATTCACCTTCTGCTCGGTTTCGACGTGTGAAGTCACCGTCTATACCTTCCCAAACCCACAGAAGGTCTCTCATCTCCGATGCTCTCCGTGTCAACTATCCGCTGGACTCGCAAAATCGGCCGAACCTCCTCCGTGTGCCATCGAGCCGGCAACTACGACCACTTCCACATGGAATCCACGACAATATATCGGGAGGGATAGGGTTTCCTGACGTCAGGGGCCCTAAGCCTAAGCCGTACAGTTGGAAGGGGCTTGGAGCAGAGAGTGAGGAGAGCGACTGCGAGGAAGATGAGACCGGACTCGCCAGTTCTTCTGAGGATGAGGATGATGATCAGGACAACGTGTCCGGCCGCGCTTCTCGCGGCCTCCGACGCCTAACGGAACAATACTCGAGGCTCAGGGACCGGAGGACTAATCTATGGGAGATGTTCGACAGCATCCATCTGAAACGAGCCCAGGTTCAAGATCTACGTCATATGAAGGACGAAACCAGCCTCGCTTTTATGAGTGCCGTGCAGGCTATACTTCCTAATAATCCGGAGCTAGATCAGCTCTTCAAGGATATGCAAGATGCCCAGCTCAGGTGTCAGGAAGCAGAACAACGCTTCGACGACATGTTGGACGAGCTCCAGCATGGCGAAGTAGAGTTGGAGCTAGAAGAGCGAAGGTTCTATACCGTCGCGGCGGGCGTAGACGAAACTGATGACGAAACTGACGATGAAAGCTGTTCGGTGACCTCGGAGGTCTCAGCACTGCGAGGAATCACTGGTGATCGCCCGGAAGACATACATCCTCTATTTGAAGAGCTTCGAGAGGCTTCTCGGAACATACAGTTAGCCAAGGAGCTTCTAGTAAATACCCAAATGAAAAGGAAAGCCCTGAGTGCAGGAAAGTCTCATTTGTTATCTCCTGACAGTATCGAGCTGCTGGAGACGTACGGAGATGCGGGGAAAAACCGAGCTCTCGAACTCAAGCGATCGGGAGTAATGTCGGAAGACGATGTTGAAATGCTAATGGATTACGACAAGCTGGAGCGGAAGGCTCGGTTTGACATCGGTCGTTTCACGAAAGATGTCATAAGATTGGAAAACGAATGCCGCGAAAAGGGAGTAATGCCCAAGAACACACCTTTCCAGGAGGAGGGGTTTGGAGTCAATCCCGTCCTTAAGGATGATATCCAGCTGGATGATGTGCCGTTCGACATGCACGCGAGAGGGCAACCTAAGACCCTGGCACATTCGGTGTTCCCTAAGCTACTGTCAAATCCCACGCACTTGCTGGAGGCGTTCCCCATGACAGCTCAACAATCGCTCCGGCTCGCCCTGTCACTTCCTCCGGGAATGCCATCCCGTCAAAAGCATGTTAATGATGCGGCCCGCGAGGTCAACATCCATTCCTTACTTGAAGAGGCTGGGGATGTTGACAAAAGGGGCTATATTAATCGTTGGTTGCTTCATAAGCTTCACTTATCACCCATGGAAGCCGAGCTCTTGTGGTCTACTTTCCATTCTCGTCTTAGAGTTCGCGATACCAATAGATGGCAGCAAGATGTCCTCCACCTGTGGTGGAAAGATCAGGCTGCCAACCTACCGCCGGCTCAGTTCGAGGGCGTATACGAAGATCGTAGTTCGGCGTCCATTAACCCAAGGACAGATCTCCCTGCCAGACGATATTCCGACTCCGGCCAGCTTGACCATCTTAGGCTTTGGGAGATCGAAGATGCGTGGGGCTGAAAGACATGGATTCTTTTTTATAGTTCAATGCCCTTTTTAGTAAGGTATATATATAGCCATTATACTCACGGCTTCATTTACTTTGTTACTTCACTGGTGGCTTATGTCGTCAAGTTTCGGGTTTGCGGAGGGCAACGGGACTTGCAAACCGCGTTGGGAAAGATTGATTAATTCATGGACTTTATATACCCCTTATGCGATTTTACATCACGATGGAGTTTTAGCCATTGGCTAGGAAGGGCTAAGATTGGATTGCTGTTTCATGTACGGATCCTATGTTAACTTACAGGTGGAGGCTGTCTGTACTACTTTGTAGGCGTTCGGTCATACTCATACCCCCCAGGCTCTTATTTTAGAATGTTATAACTCCGAGTGAGGTTTTCGCAAGCGTTGTCGTCCATAAGATTGAGTTGAGTACCTAGTATATCGATTCTATGGTCTCGAATGTACGTATGAATGTATGTCATGTCACGTATCACAAGTAGCCTATCCATCTACACATCTACATCGGTCCGTTAGGCTGGTGATGCTAGACTAGATCAGCGGGCCGTCCCACCCGGTGAAGGCGAAGTGGGCAGTCTAGCCTAGTAGGCAATTTCCTGGTGATCTATTCGGCCAGCCCATGGAGTTGACTGCTTCTAAGTTCCACCAATCCTGTTTGCCATCTGTTATGGTATTACCTAGATGCGGGGAACGGTATTATTGTTATGTACAAGGGGACAACCACACCCCCATCCCTCATTATATAATATTTTATACATGTTGTATCTTTTCAACCGAGTACTTCTAGATGTGTTATTTAGTGCTCACGTTACACGACTAATAGCATAGGATCTTCATTGCTGCAAGCAAGATGCACGACCATTAGGATCATATGAAGCTAGCAAATCAAGGGTCCCCAGCCCAAGACACCATAACTAAACAGGCCAAGAGTCGTCAAAATGCTGCACTTTGAAGTTACTAGTTCTTACTTGATCCTACTAACTCATCAAACCTGTTCAACCGGCCTGCCGTAAGAAACAGCACTTCTTTTCCGCCGCTATTCCTTCGAGCAAAACATCACGGCCTAACGGCCTACGTAATTATTCCGTATCCAGCCATAACTCCCGAACGGCGACGCCAAGCACCGTAGGATTCGGCAGCCCATATAATCCTCCAATCCCGCTCGTGCTGATTGCTAGCCACGGGTCATATGTTCCTCAGAGCGGAGCGACTCCTCTCTAGGGGGGGTCGCGGCAAGATGCAATACGCCCATTTCGCCTTACGGAATCCGGAGCCTGCATCCCCTAGTGGAGGAATACCACAAGGGGGCCAACTTCCCTAAAAAAAAACATGTATAATAAGTTGGCCCGTCTGTCTTGTCGACGGCCTACACGTGTATGTCTGGAAAAAAGAAGGCAATTGGCAATTATAGCTAAGGTATATGTTAGTTCCACGCCCCTCTTCTAAATCAGCACGACAGAAGTTGTGCGCAACAAGAAATTGAGCCCAGTGGCCAAATCGGAAATTTCGGCATTTCAGGAAGTTTGTGATTGGGAGTACCAGAAAGAAAAGGGTCTAATTAACTCAACAACCAGCAAACATTAGAGAGAAGGATCCATAACTCAGGCGTGTTGATTTTTTTTTTTTTTTTTTTTTTTTTTTTTGCCCTTGAGATGTGGGGATAGGCTCAGAAAAAAAAAGGTGATGTGGCCAATTCCCATAATTCCACGACGGCTATTCCAAGACTCTACACTAACCGGACGTAGACTCGGGCTAGAGATGGAACGTAGATGAGGTTTCATTATCAACAGCAGTTCCTGCAAGGTACACGCGCGTCGGAAACGCTCTGCTGCCTGTGCCGACCTGCAGTGCAGCAGCAGACGTCGTGGACCGCTGGGGGGAAGGGGGGAAGCGAACAATCGGCGGCCTACAGACAGACCCAAGTCAGTAGGTCACCCGCAGTTGAAATTGCTATGCCTGACCGGTAGCGAGGCGCAGGTCTGGAAATTGCGAATGCGGCTGCGCCTGATTTTGCCCGACTTACGCATCGAGGGCTTCCTCAAGAAGACGTGTCTTGGTAGCAGCATTGCTTTTCCGTGGTTCTGACACCGAACACTCTTCTCTTTCTATTTAAGGAATCTCCGAATCGATATAACCGAATTTCCCTGTCTGTCTCACGTTGATATTTGTTGTGTTGGCTGGCTTGTTGAGTGTAAGCCACATTTATGTTATGAATAAGGGTGATGCCTAGAGTACCTACCTAATATAGGTAGTAAGGTAGCCTGGTAATATTTAAGTTGACCTTAGTAAGTTATCTACCCTAACAAAGTCTTCCCTTAGCTCCGCTGTATTCGCTGCCGGTTTTGACTCCACAGTTCCGAAATTCCAAGTGACATGCGGCAGTAACCCTCCGTGACTGCCCCGGCCCAAATCTCCGGCCTTCCCGGCACCGGCATCTTAAATGCGACAACAATAATGCCGGCTGCGGCAACGCACCTATTCCTACAACGCCCGGTCAATCCCGATGGACATTTAACATGTTATTCTTTGTAATAGAAGCTAGGCAGATAGATATAATAAATTTATTTTAATCAAGCTTTTCATAACCTTTCATCCCAGAACATAAAGGTACGTCTGTTAGTTCCTGTGACCAAACTCACAAGCTTAGGTAACATAAGGCAATTTCCCATGCATTATAATCGATCGTATAGGCGTTTACAAGGAAGAACCTTCTGAACTTTCGCATTGCAACTAATCGACAATATTATATAAGCCCTAATATCATCTACATCTTTAAGAAGTAAGCTTATAAGATCCAACTCGATTCTTTAGCAAACTTCATTATCTTTTAATGGTAATAGTTTCGATTACGCATAACTAGCCTGTTAAAATAATTGTTATTCTTGAACTTGTTTATTATTTTAGGTACATACAGTACGTGTCTCCATTCCACATACCATGCACGACGTAGTGTCCCCCCTCCCCCTCAATATAGCAGTCAGCCTTAAAGCGTGTTTACCTACATATATTCTCGATAGCTTTCTTCTGCCCTAGGCAGACTTCAGAGACCATACGAGAGGTATGTTAATGCTATGTATTTACCTGGGTGATTAAAGTCCCAGATCGGACGCATTGATGAGGGGAGCTGACGTACTTGTGAAACATAGAATGAACAATATCTCAACCTATTTCTTTAGGTAGCTAACTCTTAAGTCTGTGCCAATATGCACGTACGTCCCTATAACTCTACCTTACTAGCGTAAGCCAAGCTTGAGGCTCAAAGCTTCAGCTTAGCCTCTCAGTACTTTATTCGGAGGTAGGCATCGACATTTAGTCGCTGTTTTGGGCATGTTGATATAGAAGAGTGACTCAAATAACTGACGTGCGCCAAATAACTGCTCAACCACTATGTATTTAGGTAGCTATTCTACTTCCTAGTAAGTCTGATCTATTGGGGATGTTACTAGAAGAATGAGGTACTTGTTTCCTACCACTGCTTGATTTCGTATCCCATTCCTTAAACAAGCTTTCCGTTTTATCCATGAGTTTTTTTCTGCCATAGTGGTCAAGGGAAAACCTCATATATTTGCTAGACACTTCACCTATTGGACCTAGCACCTAACATAAGAAGCATCCCTCAGGTTCTTACCCACATGCTCTCGCCTTGTCAGTCCCCTCACGTCAACCACAGTCAAACAACGTGAAATCACGAAATTCTAACGACAACGACCCCTCCGCCGTGAAACTTTTTATTTCTGTTGTTCCTGACTGTTTTGTTTTCCCTTCCTGCCTTTTTTTTACTTTCTTTTCTTTTTTTTACCACACCACCCTCAACATTAGCAGACTTTTCTGCCTCATAGGCCAACCTGTCTCACCATCTTATTCCAAGTACTGGACTCTTTGCAGTTCATTCTTGGACTTTCTTCCCCTCCCACTCGCACTTCCATTGCACATACCTCTTGGCAACATAAGGGTCTACTCCAGAACAATACAGCATACACTACACACCACACGTGTTGTTGATACCCTTCTAGCCTTTCCTCAGCAAAGTCTTCTTTCTTTCAAGAGTTCATAAGCACGCATCAACAAATCGTTTCTAGATCTGTTCTCACTCTTTTCTGCCTTGTCCAAGTTTCCCGAGCTACACTGGATACCCTCTGTATTACGGGCCAGAGGCACCAACTACGGATCCTGCCACTACAAACTACTGACCTCACACACATTGGGGTTTTTTCTCTCTGAAACATCAACCAAAGAGCCACTCGTACCGGCTTACGACTGGACTCTACCATGGATCTACTTACCCGTAAGTAACATTTCTTCTTGTTATTATTATATACCTACACTTCCCCTCAACGCTGCTACACCTATCCCCATCATCCTATTTTATTGTCCTCTTTGCAATTCTTATTTTCTTCAAATACGTTGCATATTAGATATACACTGCCTTTTCGCGCAACTATGCTGCCCTCTTCCCCCCCCCCTACTTCTGTATCGCCTGCCCTTATACACCTCACTACATACCCCTGAAAGCCTTGGCATGTATAAACTAGTACTGTTGCTAACTTTCTCAAGAAGAGGCCAAGCCTGGCTGGCCTTCAGGCCGCGTGCCCACGGAGATATTCAGCATGATCGTAGAGCACTTGCCCAAGCGCGCCACTCTCAAGCAACTACGCCTCGTCAATCGGGAATTCCACACAAAGTTGCAATCTGAATTCTTCAAGAACTTAGTAATCGATGTGGGCTCAAAGTTCAGTACTTCATCGAATGTCGGCTACCGTTGCCTGGATGGCTCGACCCCTGATGACATTACGGAGTATATTATGAGCTCCAACGGGTTCCACAATGCAGCCTCATTCGTCCGTCGCCTCGCCTTCGCTCTGGACTTAACAGAGCATGAGCTAGCAACTCCCGAAATTGAAGAGGATGATGACATCGAGATCCGCAAGTGGGGTGTATACAGATGGCCCGTTACTCCCGGCAGTCGCCTATCTAGATCACGTCTGGAAAAGATTACTGAGTCGTTGGAACGCTCGAGAGGAATCTCCCATATCATGAGCAAAGCCACTCAGATCCAAGAACTCGCCTTATCATGCGATGGCGGTTTGGGCTATCTCCAGGGCCCGGATGTCAATCCCCATCAGCCACCGGATCCGCAACCAATTTTCGGCGAACTGAACCAGGCTCAAGGGGTCGCAGACCCGTCACTGCCCTCTCTCCAGATCAGCTTCGATAAGCCCTACAAACTGGAAAGAATGGAAAAGAGACTAGCTGCCCAGGGAATTCCTCGTGACGACATATCGGATACGATAAAGAAGATCTTGAAGACGGAAGGAATCAGCATGAATCAATTTACCCATGAGACTCGAACGCGAGCTGCCCTTCCCGTGAGCCGTCATGGCGAGCAAAAGATCACCCGATTCCTTTATTGGCACGGTCATTATCGTCTGCAACCGGATCAGCTCACAGAAGCCCAGGCGAAACTCATATTCCAACATGTTACAACACAGCAGGCACTCGTGCAAGCATTTATGTTTACTGCTATGAAGCACGGCGAATCTTGCAAATACTTGACCAAGGTCAACATCGCGCATCTTTCTAGCTTCCATGTGCATTTGCTGTGCATGGATGCGTTCTGGTCGAAACTACCTGCACTTGAGGAAGTGTCTCTGGGTATTGCGCCTGACTGGAGAGAGGTGACCGTCAAAGACAGATACACCTTGGAGACGAGACAGGTTTATCCTACCGACGCATTGCCTGAAGTATTCAAGTTACTCAACGATCACATCGGTCGACAAGAACGAATCAAGCGACTCCATTTCGAGTGGCTCTGTGGTGGCGAGCTGGCTGCTGGCTGGCTCCAAAGAAACAGCTACGTGTTACCGGCGCCATTCTTGAAGAAGCATCGACTGGTGATCTTCTCAGGAAAGGAGAATCTTCTTATTCTCCCTCACGTTACGCACTTGTCCCTCAAGAACTGCTGGTTCGCTCCGAACGTATTCTATCGAATCATCCACACCATGGCCAAGCAGCACTCTCTCGTGTCTCTCGAGTTGGAAACCGTCTCTCTGACCGGCCGTCCGATCCTCCGAGAAACCCTAGCAGGTTCTGATGTAGATGATGACCCATGGCCTATATCGCCCAGTGGCTCACATCTCCCGAGTCTGGTTCGAGATTCCCTAACCCTCTCCTGGTGCCATGTCATCGACATGCTCACACCGGGACCGACATTCAAAGAGAGCTTCCTCGAAGAGAACTTTCCTACCGAGCCGCAGTTGAGTATTCGAAAGGATCTCAAGCTCCAAAAGCTTGTGTTCAAGTCCTGCGGCTATGTAGACATACCAGATTCCCGTTTCGTTTATAACGCACGCGTCTCGAAACGGCCTTACCCGCTTGGGCTCAGACGAGGTGCCCGGGCGATGTCCAGGCGATATCACGCCAAACGGCGATCGCTGGCTGGTTTCATGCAGGTCAACACCGACAGACATCTAGGCCGCATAACCGAAGTACTTGATCCTCGCGAGGAGTACTGCATGCAAACGGCCTTTGGACTGCACGCCGGCTGGCCCGATACCGATGCATACGGACTCAGTCGTCACCAAGCTGCCTTGTGTGACGGCATCGCATACCCTGGCTACGGCCGCTTCAGCGGCACCATCGACGCTGGTTCTTTCATGGACATTAACTCTGACCATAGAGCCCAAGCTTACGAGCTCGACACGTCGAGATTCGATTTTGACTACGAGGAAGACGACAACGAAGCCCTCGAGGAAATGCTGAACGGATTCGAGTTGGAGCTGGGTTACAACTTCCCGCGCCCCGGAAACGATAACAACTAAACTAGTTGTTCGGAACTACTTACGACACGCCTATATCATATATGTATTACATTCCGCCTCGCAAGAGCTTGCGAGCTATTCATGCATCGACCATAGCATAGCATAGCATAGCAGGCTTTTCACTTTCAGTCATTGCATTTTTTCAGTCTGGTTTCCTATTTTTCAGCATGGCCACCTTTACCTATCTGCGCATCAGGCAGCATAAGGTACACAGCATACGGTGTTCAGGTTTTTTTTTTTTTTTTTTTTTTTTTTCGCGGCTATTTTTTTCGCGGCTATTTCTTTCGGTTTTTTCCTAGTCATACTCTGTACACCACAGGAAGTCGACATCGACATCGACATCGACGATTAATAATACCAGATCAGGCGTTAGTTTCCATCTTCACGCATCAACGGCGGCGGCATTGAAGGATTTTGATTTCTGCATCGCATCACATCGCCCGGCTACAAAACGGCATACGGACAAAAACCACATCGGAAGTTCAGAAAGGCACTTGGCAACCAAGGGCCGTATTAATACGCGTGTGTATTCACCTCGTCGAGCAGCAGCAGCAGCGCACTTGCGTTGAGCTCGTTACTTTTTCATATCCCCTTTGCGTTCTACGGACTAATTTAGGAGCCATGGATCCTTGTGAACCATACGGGGCGGGCGATTGGTTACGTTTATCCATGTTCTGGAGACGCGAAGACGGAGGACTCTACTTTGCATAGGGGGGACTGCTTGTATTATACTTTTGGCCTGGCATAGTGCTCATGGCTCATCTTGCTTGGCAGATACGGTGCGGATTTGAGGTGCGTTGCTAGTTTTGCTTGTCTCTGGGTCCTACATACTATGTAGACCCCCGATGAGATACATTCAGTAATAATGACTGATTATACCCCCATCTGAAATGTTTCTTCTGAAAAGTGATAACATGCTAATTCGTAGTTCAAGTAAATGTAGAGTCTTAGGTGTAGAGAGGTGGCGGTAGTTGAAATGCCTCAGTAGATCTACACTAATATGGATCTTCATCTGAGATATAATGAGGAAGTCATTCGTAAGCTCTGCTACTTGCTAGGTTAGTAGATGAGGACGTCTGTCTTTTTTACAAGTAGTCTAAGAAGAGAGGCGTATAAGGAATAGAAGAACAAAAGTCTTGAATCAGACTATCCTTCGTATATTATTCTACCTTACTTTTCTAACTAGTAGTTGGCAATCTTGACGGACTAAAGAGCACATATGGAGGGAATGGACTATGGTTAAGAGTATAGAAGCACGTAAAGGGCCAGTAATCAGTCACATTCAAAACGTGAGACGCAAGAGATGATTGTTCAGAAACTTTTTTGCGCGTTATTGGGGGAAAATCCACGAAGATTTTTGATTTCGCAGAGTTGCATGCCAGAGAATACCTAGACCCATGCTTTACGATAACCGCCTTGACACCTGGAGTTTGAAAGCAACTTTAACCCCGAACCTTTAATCTCCATTAATCGTCACACCCCCTACCTTCACCGCCTCGTCCCCGTCATCTTATTTTGGGAATCTATGCGGCAGTGATGGCCTTGCGGATACGGGCACCGCGTTGTCTTGAGCTCAGGTGAGCCGACTCGCGGCCGACGACTGACTCGGACTTCTGAACAACCTCCTCGCCTTCGGTCAGGATGAGCTCAATGTGGCACGGGTTCGACATGTAAGGGTTGATCTGTTACGGCTCATTAGCAAAACCGTTCATGTGCAAGATTTCTTCCAGCACTAGGAAACCTGATGGGCAGAAGAAACAAGTATGGAATACGTACACGACCGTGAGCTCGGTAAGTTCGTCTTCGCTGCTTGGGGGCCTGGTTGACTTGGATGTGCTTGACGATCAGGTTGCTGGTGTCGAGGCCCTTGGCATCGGCGTTGGACTCGGCGTTCCTGAGGAGGCCGAGCAGGAACTCGGCAGACTTAGCGGGCCATCGAGCCTTGGAGACACCGAACTGCTTGCCTGTTTGGATCGATCGTATTAGCTTGCTTGTCTATCGTTTGCCTGTCGTAATAGCTATAACCGCATAGCAAATATTATTAAATTCTTTTTTTCCGCCCCACCAACACTCTGAAGTTTTGTAGAGGTAAATCTGTAGAGATGATATATTCGTACCTTGGGCTGTTCGTCCAGTGCTGCCGGCATATCGTCGCATGGGGACGGCCTCAGTCTTCTCCTTAACATTCTCGAGGAACTTGACTGCGCGGGTCAACTTCCAGCCGTTGATGGCCTGGGCGGTCTCTCGGGTGTTCTTGAAGGAAACACGGAGGTAGGCGCCGCGGGCGCGGGCCGACTTCGCGGAGTCAATCTCGGTGGCAGCGTATCGAACCTATGCGAGAAGATCACCATTAGCTACCCAATTCCCCGTGCTCGTAGGGGGGGTTTGCATCGCGAGAAGTCGTCGACGGTGCGCACTCAAGTCGTACACCGAATGTGAAATTGCGGTTTTCGCATAACGCATGTGCGTTCGACAAATTCACTCGAGCGGGATTCTAAACGTACCATCTTGGCTGCTGTGTGGTGTTGAGGTGGGAGATGGACTCGATGTCGTTTGTTGGATTGAAGATTTTCGCGAGGTCAAAGTTCGGGGAAGTTCAAATTGTGGAAATTGAATTGTGCCCTCGCTTACTGCCCTGAGTGGTACGTAGGTACTTCTTTTTTTGAGTGATAAAGCGTCCCACTTGGTCAAAGCGTTTTTTTCTTATCGATAACATACTTTTATCGTAAATCTTTGCGGTAAATATTCGGCTTTAATATGATAGGAGCTCGGGCCATGTAAACTCTCAATTGAACTCTATCAGCGGTACCTTTAGCTCCAGAAATTTTTTTTTTCTTTCTGAAGCTCGAAGGAATTTTTATGGGAGCTTAAAGTTAACATAACGTTTTCTCCAATTGTCTTCGCGAAACCCCTAACGCGACACACGACGCGATAATAATACTTATCGCAAACATCGCAAGAATCATACCTAACTAATCCTCTTATTTTTAAAACATGGGCTTTACTCCACGAGGCAGAGGCGGTGGCCGCGGTGGTTTTGGCGATAGAGGCGGCCGAGGTGGGTTTGGCGACAGAGGTGGACGAGGTGGAGGTAGCTTTGGAGGCCGTGGAGGTGGTGGACGAGGTAAGCTGAATCTACGAACTCTATATATTTCAGGATATGAGTTATTAATCATCTACTCTACAGGTGGTGGCCGAGGCGGCTTCGGTGACCGAGGTGGACGTGGTGGTGGTGGTCGCGGCGGTCCCCCAAGAGGAGGACGAGGTGCTCCTCGCGGTGCTGGACGCGGTGGCGGGAGAGGCGGCGCAAGAGGTGGTGCCAGGGTCGTTGTTGTAAGCTACAAGCCTCGTTATGAGCTAGCTCGTGAACATGATCATACTAACCATATTTTAGGAGCCCCACCGTCACGAAGGCGTTTTCGTCTCGCGGGGCAAGGAGGACCACTTGCTCACCCGAAGCGTTGCCCCTGGCATCGAGGTCTACGGCGAGAAGAGGGTTACCATTGATAATACCACCAAGGCCGAGGATGGTACGCCTATTACCACCAAGGTCGAGTACAGAATCTGGAATCCTTTCCGGAGTAAGTTGGCAGCCGGTATTATCGGTGGTATCGACAACATCTACATGAAGCCCGGCTCCAAGGTTTTGTACCTGGGTGCTGCCTCTGGTACTTCGGTTTCTCACGTTTCCGACATTGTTGGCCCTACCGGAAATGTCTACGCCGTTGAATTCTCCCACCGATCTGGCCGAGACTTGGTAAACATGGCCCAAAACCGAACTAACGTCATCCCTATTGTCGAGGATGCCCGACACCCCATGAAGTATCGCATGCTCGTACCTATGGTTGACTGCATCTTTGCCGATGTTGCCCAACCCGACCAGGCCCGTATTGTTGCGCTGAACGCACACATGTTCCTGAAAGTTGGCGGTGGTGTAGTTATCTCTATCAAGGCGAACTGCATTGACAGCACAGCTGCCCCCGAGGCAGTCTTCGCGCAGGAAGTGCAGAAGCTGAGAGCAGAGCGTATCAAGCCCCAGGAACAACTGACGCTAGGTACGAATTCTTTTCCTCCATTCAAAGTTGCTTACCACTAACTATCGTAATTAGAACCCTATGAACGAGATCACTGTATCGTGATTGGACAATACCAAGAGGCGAAGTAGGCACCTTATAGGCTAAGAGGAAAGCAACCTATTTTGTGTTATATTGCGGTCTTGATGTAACGATCATAATCCACGTGGTTCGTGGGATGGAGTTATTCCCATCAGGCAACGGCGACTAGGCGTTCGGAGGGTCGGTTTATTGATATTTCATCTGTGCATCAGTTTCCATAGGGAAAAGTCTATCTGGTCAATACCACGCAAGCAGTTCGATCCACGCATTTGTCTATTCAATCTCTTGTTATAAGGTATATCATTGCTATTGTGGCATGTTGATTACATCGCCGTATTGTCAAGATCTAGTACCTCAACCCAGATTACTGTGATTCTAGCTAGCATATCGAGACCAGTCATATCGAGACCAGTAGCTCTACTCTCCTATCAACCGTCAGCATAGTATACGAGACAAAAAAACCTTTATTTACTCCCTCTGTGTTCCCCCTGCATGCCACAGCGCCCCCTATCTATTCGCGTGAGCTTAGTTCTACGATGTTCAACATCTAGTAGAGTTGGGTACTAGTGAATGATATTTGCTTAAATGACTAGCATAAACATTCATACCTCTAGCTCTACTACTATCTATTTCGATAGATCCTTGACTATCATCTAGGGAGTTGTCTAGGTTAGATAGCTTTGCGCGCACATATTCAGTCATCTTCGACTTCTCCAGATTTACCCTGATCCCTTATGCTCCACTGATTGAGGCCCATGTTAGAGTCGAGATTCGATGGAGGCCCCGGCACTTCGCCGCAGCTAGCACCTAGCGATCCGAAGCCTGAGATCGGCAAAGTTCCATTACCGTCGCCCCCGCATATCCCATCGCACGGTATATTTCCCTGGGACGTCGCAAGCCCGCCGTCTTGTAGTTGCGCCGGAACGGCCTCGGGCGGTGGACATCCTGTTGGCGCAGACCAAGGGGGCCAAGCCCACGGCCCAGGCGTTGGCACCGGACCTATCTGCTCCTCTTGCCGCTGCTGACCCTCTGTGCCCGTAAGCAGGCTAATGGGAGGCAGAGAAGCAGTAGAACTGGTGGAAGTAGGCGACATATCTCCACCGACTAGCAACACCCGCACCACTGGCTCCGGCTGCCAGTCCATCTCATCCCCCGTCCCAAACCCGACTCCCACTTCGTTGGCCCACGCGGCGAAGCGCTCGCTGCACTGGCTCAAGGCGCGCACGGCCCAGTTCCGGAAGCGCAGGTTCGCGCGGCGGACGGAACTGCATTCTGTGCAGGACCGGATGTTGTTGCTGCTTCTGCTTTTGTAGACGCCGTTGTGGGCTTGCCGCGGGGAGAAGAACGAAGAGTTGAACGGGTCGTCGATGCTGGTGTTCTCGTCGGCGTCGGCGTTGTCTATGCTTGCGGCCCTGGGGTGTCTGCGGCGGTTGTGTTTGTTGTTTGAGCTGGCGTTGGGGTTGTTATGGGACTTGGTTCTGTGCACTTGGGCGCCGTGGTGAGGATTATGGTTGTTTCGTGAGTGCTGGTCCTGCGAGAAGGATTGGGCACGGTTGTTTTTCCTGTTATTGCCGCGGTATGGAGATCGGCTTCGACCGCGCGACGGATTATAGTTCTGGTCGCTTCTTCTATTCGATGAATGATGACCCTTCGCGACCGGAGAGCCAACACCGCCCATGGGGTAATCATCATCGAAGTTTACACTTCGCGGGCCTCGTCTATTATTAGCGCGAGTCGCTGAGCCCCGGAATCTATTATCATTCCTTTTCCTTGCCATGACTTCTGCACTATTCGCCCGCTAGGATGCCTCTCTAAGTTATTTTATGAAGTTGTTCTTGGTATGACCAGTTCTTCCAGGTTGAACGTGTGCAAATTCCGCCGGTACCTGAGGTCGTTGGGGAGGTTCTGGCAAGCATATTGACGCTGCGATTCCCAGGACCACCGAGGGGAGCCCAGTAACTCTTAAAAGGGCTTCCTCCATCTTAGAAGTTCTCTGACTCCTATCTTCTGAAAGGGTGCAAGCCAGTTACATAATGTTATTAAGTTAGTAGGCAGGTTCTAGAAAATAAAGGAAAAGGCTTCCGTAAATAAAGTGACGATGTTCCCTGTAGGCTATAGAGACTGCCTGCTGAAATATGATGCCGTAGGGACCGCGAGATCTAGAAGTTTTCCATAGCAAGGGTATTTGAGTCGTCTTATTTAACCTAGTATACAAAGAGCGCCCCTGAAAGTATGGAAGAACTCGTCAGTAGCCATGCAGCAGTTCTCAAGATTCACTTAGTAGACAATGGCGAATGTGAAGGCCGGGAGAGTCATAACTGAACGAACGAATAGCGTCTGACACCCGTGTCGGTTGCTGAAAGCCGTGGGCCTTTATGAATATAGGCGAATTTCTATTATGAGACATAGTTTCAACGACGACAAGGTTGGCTGGGTAGAAATAAAGGTCCATTGTTTGGCCCTGGGTCTGACGGAGTATTGAGTGAGGATGTAATATGCTTGGCTGTGATTCTAGGGAAGCCTCCGTATGCCACTTTACATATAAGTTGGGTTTTATTGCTGGCCTACTGCTTTTCCTGTTCTTATATTTCATTCAAGGGCGTAAGAGACGGCTTCTTAATCATTCTAAGCAATCTTTAGCAAACCTTGACATCGTCATCATAGAGGACAGTATCCCGAGGCTCCATCGAGTCGGGCCCCATTTAGAAAATCCCAACCACACTCGGTCTACCTCTTGCCATCACGAAACGATAGATAGGTAGTTAATGGAACGATGCCTAACGGTGTTGAAGAACCTATTGTCAGCATGGTTACATCGCGCGGACGTTCCAACTTACCCGCATTGTGCTATATCCGAATCTTGATAGGATACGAAGTCCTGCGCAACCTTGAAGATGTGATCCCCCCTGCATCGGGGGTCCGAGATATAGTACTCGCGGCAATTATTGGATTTCTCGGGAGGGTTTACCAGTCATGGATATTTTACAAAGACGATGACATCGGATTATGCGATGTTCTGTGCGGCCCTGAGTATTCTAGCTTCTCGTGGTAGGAGTGAAGAGGTTTCGCATACGCTTTGACATTCAAAAAGATGCCTAACTGCTTAGCGGCTAGGCCATGAGATAGTTTGAGTGCTTCCCCCGGATCCCCAAGCTACCGAAAAGAAGTCACCGAGGCCGGGAGTTATTTCAATACTAACATGACAAGGGTTATTGGCGCTAGATGAGGGGTTCACGGGGGAAACCCGTTGAGAAATGTTTTCTAGATATTGTGGCGCGTAACCAAGATAAAGAGTAGATATAAGTTCTTGAGATATATAGTTGTATTACTTACCTAGAGATCAAGCAAATAAGCTATAGCTCTGTCCGGTTTGTATGAGGAACGCTAGTTTCAATAGAGACTTCAGACCGGCACCGGGACAAAAATGACTTGCAAGCACCTATGCTGGCCTACAGACGCTAGGTGATTCCAAAATCCGACAAGGAGAACCACTAAAGAAAATACCTGGTATCGTAGACTTCTCGCTGCTTTGTTCCTGGAGGTTGACTTAGGAGTCTTTTCTAGGAGGTAAAGATAGAAAGATTTCAACCTAGATATGTAGGTAGTCGTTGGGTTTCTGGCTCAGCCATTCAAAATAGGCACTGTGTACATGGTTGTAAAATGTATAAGTCTTGGTCATAGATTTGATCTCGTCCCTATTAACTAGGGGATCTCTGGGCGATGAAGCGGCATGAACCAGGTAAACGCTCAAACCACAACAAGGCCCCTGACGTAGAGCTTGGTATAGTCGTTATCATCCACTAGCTATATCTGCTTTTGAGAAGGGAAGACCCTTGAATATAAGTAACCTACGTTTTTTTATCCTTACTAAAATTGGGTTTATTTCCGAGGGAATGGCACCAGTAAAGCATCTTGATCGTTGAAGGTCTTGAACTAAGCCTAGACAGCTCCTTGGTGAGGAATTGGCAGTTCGTATTATTATTACAATATAGAGCATATTAGAAGTAGCTTGTTATAAGTGGCTGTACCGCGACATTCTATATTAATAGTAGATCACCACGACGTGGAGATGGCGAAATGGTGGTTGACCTCATTCAAAATCCTGTAGGTTTTTTGGCCGCATAATAAATCATGCACGTGCCATATTTACGTCCTTGATGGAAGAATACCTACATGTAGGTACCTATACTCTGATAGTTCGGTACATCTTAGGTAATAAACAGATTATCCCCTGTGTTGCTAATTGCATACTATGTATTTACAAGCCGGCTTTTCTGGCGTCAGCACTTATTCCATCTTACCACACGATCTCATCATCTCCAACCGTAAGCATTAAGCATAATTACATCAGCGTAATGATCGCAACATAAACGACTAAACGAGGATTCGGATAGCGTGCTCACGTCTGAAACACGTACACACCCATATCGTTGTAGAAAAGCGATACATGCCTACATACCTACATAACAACGAAAAAAGGTACGCGGCCTGGACAAACACCAATTCGCCTGTTCTCATTGGAAAGACCCTCTTCTACATAATAGCAAACCGCTATCTATGTAATATCTATCAGTAATCCCTCCTTCAGCCAGCCTATCTCGGAATCGCCGGTAATAAGATGGCTTTCTTGATAGCAATCGTTATTGCCTATCACAGTAGTATCCCCCCCCCCCCCCCTACTCCAATGAGCCCGTATCATCCACAGATGACTACAGAGGCGCATTTCTGCGCACTTTCCAATAGTCTACATAGGTTACGTAGTGTCATCAGCAGTCTTACTATGGTATCTATCTTACTTTCAATCGCTTCTCTTAATCACCCTGTTCCTAGCTTCTGTCGCTCGACGTGTCAACCGTCTGCTTGGCGAGGATACCGTCGTCTGCCAAGTTGGGGTAAAAGGTTACTAAGGGACTATGTATGGGGCCGGGTTCGCCTGGATACCCGGTCTGTTTCGATTATTATCCACATATCCTGGCGTTGCCTTAGCTGCTCGAGATGAGTTCCGGAAGAAGTCTACACTTGCATACTGTGTAGTACAACTCCTATCCGTCAACGGAATGGGCACAGACGCACGTCAGCGTCAACACCCTATGTACAGATCGGGACGAAAACATCCTGGTTCTCTATGTACAATTTCTCTGACTGATATTGCTGGTCAAATCCTAGAATAATCGGCCGCCATCCTTGCTCATCATGCCTGTGTCTTTCTCAATACCAACCATAAATTCTCTTTACTGTTCAATTTCTTATTTGATTGGTCCTGGTACCTGAGGAACCCTCCCAGGAGCCGAAGCCCTTCTTCTAGTTCGCTGTAGTTAAGCAACTGGGCCCTGGCATAAAATACACACGGGGCTTTCTTTATTAGTCGCGTGGCATCCTAGTCAGAAACCAGGAGATACATATCTAGTATTCTGTCCTTCCAAAGATGTTCTCAAGAATATCCACATGGATAGGCAAGGCTTAGACCCACGCCATCTCAAATAAGTTTACGAGTCCGGTGTGAGTGGGCGCTGGAGCTATAAGATTCTCTCGAGACCCGACTGTTGAGACAGTGGATGGACAAGTGGACCTCGAAACTTCGTTACGATTCATGAATCGCAATCACATCTAGCTCAACTTTATCGATATTTGACGACTTATATCGGTTAGCATATCTCATTCACGTGGATAATGTCAACTCGTCCGTCCTGCTGGAAAGCCAAACGTTGATTAATGACTCAGGCGTTCCTTCGGCCAGTTATGCAGCTTTTATATTTATATCGAGTGAAGCAAACATAGATCAAGCATCTCTATTTGACTACCGACTCGGTAGCGGGCCGTTCCTGTTTGTGCGATATATCAGCTCGGAGCCCAGCCATCGAACCAACTACACCCCAATTCCCTTGAATCTAATATTAACTACTATACGAAAATGGGGCGTGAATTAACAGCAGGAGAGCTCGAGGCGATCAGCGTCATTGAACGGGTTGGCTCCGTATTCTCGCTGTTGGGATGTCTTTTCGTTATCATTACCTTCACTTTCTCGAAGGCTTTCCACAAGCCTATTAACCGCCTAGTCTTTTATGCCTCCTTCGGTAATATGATGACCAACGTGGGAACATTGATGTCAAGGAGATACGTGATGGAGATTGATACATTTGGATGCCAATTTCAAGGATTTCTTATACAAATGTATGTCATTTGCCAATACATATTCGCTCAACTTACTAAACTATCCAAAGGTTCCTGCCCGCTGATGCTTTTTGGACATTGGCTATGGCATTTAATGTCTACTTAACTTTTTACTACAAGTTTGACGCCGCTAAACTCCGTATGATGGAAAAATGGTCAGTTCAAACTCAACCTCCATCCCTTAAAAGTTAAGCATGGAAACTTATACGATACCAACTTCAGGTATCTCTTAATATGTTACGGCGTCCCGTTCGTTCCCGCGCTCACCTATGTGTTCGTGAGAACAGAGTCGTCTGGCCGGATGTATGGCAATGCCACTTTATGGTGCTGGGTTAGCTCTGGATGGGACATCTTTCGGATCGTTACTTTCTACGGTCCTGTCTGGTAAGGGCTCATGAATTGATGCTTCTAAGATTGGCATTACTGACACTGCTTAGGGTTATTATCTTACTTACGATGGCTATTTATATACGGGCAGGAAAAGACATATATCAGAAGCGCAAGCAACTACGAAATTTTGGCGCCAGCAGCAGCGCTCATGATCCGGATGCATTGAATATGAACGACCCCTATTCAACGAAGACAACCGAAGTAACAGTCACGTCCGAAGCTGCTGGAGAGGGCGGAAGTGGAATCGACCTCGCACCCCTTGGACGATTCGGCATGACTAAGAGCAACCCGTCGTACTCGGTAACAATATCGTCGAATAATACAAAAGGCAACAGCAAAGCGCAAGAGGGGGATATTGTGCTTCCTGTTCAGAGCAACGTGCCGCAGACACCATCCGCAGCCCAGTCACGAGCGAAGTTCCAAAAGAGAAGGGCGAACTTCGAGGCCAACAATGCTGCGTGGTCATACAGCAAGTGCGCCATCCTCTTCTTCACGGCGCTCCTTGTCACTTGGCTTCCCTCAACAGCAAATCGCGTATACAGTATCGTCAATACGAACAGCGTGCTAGCATCGCTCGAGATTATGAGCGCAATCGTTTTACCACTTCAGGGATTTTGGAACTGCCTGATATACATCGCGACAAGCTGGGAGGTAGTGAAGATGTCGTTCTCGGATCTCCGGGTCCGTATTACCGGTCGACGCCCCGAGTTGAGCCAGTACGGCAACGAACACCAGGATAAACGAAATTTCGCATTCAGGCTTCCAAGCCGAAGCTCACATAAGGACATAGAGAGCGAGTCAATGACGGAGTTAGCTAATAGCGGCAGGACGTCGCAATCTCACCAGGATGCTAAAGGGTAGACAATATAACGGCATCAAATATTAGATTTTGATTTATATTTTCATTATTCATCCCGCTTCTGAAGTGCACATGTGCATCTTGGCAAGCGATGCCTTTTGCGTGTACCAAAACCTTGTAATCATCATATACACTCTATCATCGATGAGCTATCGGCCAGATGATGCACGATTCGACTACCTAATTTGGTATTCTAGAATTCTAGGCATTGCAGCGTCCCTAGGTTTTACCTTTTCGGCAAGGTCAGTTGGATAAACCAGGATAGAAACTTGGTTTAGAGGATAGGTGTGATTCCGCTATGAGGTGGCATTGCCCCTTGATATAGCGCATAGCGGGACGAAAGAGGAGTAATATTCGTTAGTCGGTCTTTTCCCCTCAACGCTAAAGTAGCCAAAATATGGAGAAGCTCAACCTTTCTTAGGTCGAGTGCGGCCGAAAGCTTCTTTTTAACCTTCCTAGTCGAGCACCGAGTTACATACATGTACGCGTACATTACACCTATATCCAGTGTATGAATTAGGTATTGGGTCTAACGATGGTTGAGCGGCCGCATATGCAGGTACCTAATATAATGATAGATCCAGTCTCTTAGCCCTCTTTGCATGTGTATTCTTTATTTCCGATATTGCCGGCTGGAAGGGAGAAAGAGAGGAGGTGGCGGTGAACGGCAAGATCTTCGCCGGGAAAAGAATATCTGGCTAGGTAGGTTAGAGACGTAACATCGTGCCGGCGTGCGTGATCTGGAGAGTATGTATGTACTCTCCTGGCTTATCCCAGTTCTGTCTGGCGCACTGTTCAAGGCATTGTCCCATCAACCCTGTTTGAAAAACTCAACTATGTAGCTAACCCACATAGATAATACTAGGATTGGTAATTTTCTACACAAGGCATAGGGGTCCCCTTGGCGTATATGCATCAAGACATTGCTTTCCCGATGATAAACACTAGGGTCTTTTTGGTATATTAGCGGGCCTAGCGGTTGGGGTATAAGTAGGTAATATAGCGAGGTGGACCAGTAAGAACATAGCGTCCGTAAGGCTGATCTACTACTAAGGCACCATAGCTTCATAATCTTAAGAAATACTACGCGAGATTTGAATGTTCGCGCAGGCGAGAGGCGTAGCAAGATTGAAGACTTCTAGAATTAATGTTTACTTGGCTATATCAACAACCCTCTACTACTATCATACATCCTTGGATATTCTAAACCCTTCCAATGTTAGTTTTCACATTACTAGGTTGCCTATGTAAAACAAACCTGTTTTCTATAAAACCTGCGGGGTAGAAATCCGAAGAGGAAGGTCTCCCAAGGAGTTGAGTTCAACTTCTCTCGTAGGTACATACGATGTATTTCATGAAACACCCCGGCGATCTATTGGCCAATCGGGTGTCACGAATTCGAGTTCTCAGTTTCGAAGAGGTAAAGCTACTTGCTCCAGGAACCATGTACCTGCATAGGTAAACATACGATTGATATCCCGAAAGGAGGGAGACAGGACTTTCCCTCTCCAGATCTGATATGCCTAACAGAATGACAATACCGTTATTCCTTAGCCTCTTCCCATAGAATGTTAAGTATTTCTTAGTTCAGCTGTCAGACATGTCAAAAGGAACAGTAGGAGTACAAAGCGACGGGGCGAACGCAAGGAGAAAAAAAATCTCGGTAACGCAGAATTCTCACCGTCGTAATCCGTATGTATTCCATGCAGCGGCGGCCCATGGCTTCGGGTCTAGCGAATTAGACCTACATAACATTAGGCCTGTTATGACGTGCCATCGTGCCCTAGATGCAGCAATGATCAGACTCGCCAGGGGGTGGCAAGGGACGTGCAAAATTCAAGATACTTCACTAAGTGTAGGACTTTGGACGGCAGAACCAATCACTTTTGTATAGTAGTTATTCCCTGTCAGCATTGAGTAACTGGTCCTGCTATAACATGATTAAGCGAGCCAAGCAAAACAAACAAGATGCATTCTGCGACGGCTTCGATACTCCCTTTACTCGTCTCCTCCCGCAGCCTCGTATGTCAATAGTGAATTCACATGCTCAACGGCCGAACGTATGTACTAGGTCATCATTTCGAAAGAATTACAAAGCTGCAAGCATACCCCTTGACTATGACAATCAATATCCGTAAGGCTGTCACTTTCGGCTATTCCCAGTTGATGATTAGTCTATGCAGTGGCGTCGTCCGTACGGTTATCAGATGGACGGTAGGCCGAATGCATCCACAGCATGCACGTACTATGTATACGCCAGCATAAAGAATCTAGCAAACACGCTCTGGTGGGAACCATGGAATTGGAAGAGGTCTGTCGATTCGGTTCATAATTCGGTTCATAGGTTGTACGACGAGGTCCGAGTTGTCCGCGTGCTGGAGAACGTCAAAACACATGCTTAGCCCAAGCTCTACTCTATTAAGTATCATACAAAAGGCTAGGTTAGGTGTGTATATCAGATTTAACCATAGCCCTCTTCGCGTGATAAGGAGGCGCATATAAGAACAAACAAACCGAGGCGCAGTCGCAAACACCCATTACAGATCCATGATGTTGTTCCTGCGTATGAATATGCAGGTACAAAAGCAAGCAAGCGCATGGGATAGCCCCTACATATGCACCTGATGCAACGCCTCCCAACTCGTCCCGTACGCGACCGTCTACAGGATAGAATTAACACATCGCTTATCTACCTAAGCAAGTACCCGCAGGAACACCTGAGCCCCAAGTTGCTTGCCTTGAAGCCGTCATACGGCCCCGACTCTTAGATCTGAAGATCTGCTGCGGAGCGGCGGCTTGGGCGCCTTGTCTCCAGCCACAGATACCCGATCCATGGGTTCGATGCGTGGGTGGCTGCAGCTTCTCCAAACGTGCGTGGTTCGGGTATCCTGTATACATTCTGATGTTTGCTACGATCCTGCTACGGTCCGCGGATGTCGAGGACGTTGTTATTTTGAAAACCAGGGAGCTGGGTGCGTTATGGGGTGGGTTGGGACTCCCGTGTTAGTGAGAGATTAGATCCTTACGTTAGGTTAGGACTCTTCGCTTATGGTGGTGTTTTGAATGGGTTGAAAATTGCAATTAATAAAAGACGTGATGCTTTTTAGAACACTCTATCTCTCCATGGCATATAGGGGTCATGTTACCTCGACCTTGTGGCGTAACGCTTTAACTCGACTTTTCGGTCTGTCTTGAAAGTATTTGATCCTCTTGGCCTAGCTGTAGCAAGGACTTTAGACTTTAATAGAGATAGATAATTTAATTTCGAGTCTTTATCTAAGATGATAGAATTGTAACATAGTTGCTATGAGAGCTGAATAAGATAGAGTAATTCGATTAGCCAGGTAGGAGATGAGGCTCTTCTTGTATACCACTCTTTACAGAATCAACCTTTTAATTCGCCGCAGCCCTTAGTATTGCTATTAATTATCCAAGATCATGTGTATATTAAATAAGCAACCTTGGTTGAGTATTATGACGCAGGTGACAGCTAGTATGGTTGGCACACGACTAAGTGTGATTTGAGTTGAAGATGTATAGATTTAACAAAGTGTGGAGGTATTCATAAACTACCTACTGGTAGATCTGATGGGACGAATATAATTTACTTGGAGGTCTAACCTAAACTTGCTCTATGATGCTATCCTGATGAAAAGCTCTCGGTCTTGGAAGCAGTCATCTGGTTTCTCTGTTCCACGTAATTATAACGTACCTACCTAAGGTACTATTATGTCTACCTCCTAAGGATCACCATCTTCGTCGCGGCCTAGGAGACCGAAGGTGTAAACGGAACGTGGATCCACTGATGGAGAAAAATACACGCGCACAAAAAACACAAGCAAACACCAAAGTGGAGTGGAGGCGCTTATCGTTTAGAAGATATGGTATTCCGAGAAGGTCGGGGATAACTCGAGGCGTGACTCGAGGCGTGACTCGAGGCGGATTGGGAAGTGTCAAAGAGTACCTGGAGAGGAAATGGGCGGGAAGGTGCGTCTCTCGATCTTATCAGTGCAGGCTCCCGCGGTCTATCTCTCGGGTCGAGCAGGTACGAAGGTGATGTACTTGCCATGATTTCGAGATGCAAAACCGGCTTAGAATTTGATCCAGCTTCAAATTTGTCTCACCTTTCAATCTAAGTTTCCAACCTTCCTCGGATTCTCAGGTGCTTCTCAGGTGCTTCTCAGGTGGTAGTTATCCAGTCTCATCACTTCTCCCATCTCCCACTTTATATGTCTTGGTTTACAACCCTACCTACTACCTTCTACATCCTTACTTCACCTCGAGTCCCATCACTAATTCCGTGTCACTCTAGCAATCGAGGCAGTCAATTCGTCAACAGCGAAGTGGCGGGACTTTTGAATCTTTTACCAATCCTACCGTACACGAAACTCAGCCATCTTGGTGAACCTCTTTTCTTCTAACCCCCTAACCAGCCAGCCCCTTAACCCTCCGGTCTATCCGATACCTGATTAAAACCAACAAGAGAGAGATCTGCGAGAAGACTCTTCTAATCCTAGGTAATAATAACATGGCTCGTTCAATCCCTCTTGGAAGTTAACTTGACTGCCGATGAAAATTTGGCCCGTCATTACACCACCTTTGTGTCACAATTGCACCGAGTCCTTGAAAATCCCAATCCGCCAAACCTACCATCATTATACCGATTATACCGCGACGGATACAAACTCTTCACAAGAAGGCCTTAGATGACAAGTTAACCATAAACAGCCATCATGTTCGACGTTCTCTGGACTGATCCCAACCGGGAGTTGGTGGGTGAGCGGATGGTAAGAAAAGAGCAAGAGGCTAAGATGAAAGAAAAAGAGAAAAGGCAAAAGTCTGAGAATGGCCGCCAATCCATTTCGACTGAGAGTTCGACTTCTAGCGACCGGGGATTTGGAATATTTTCGGCTAGAGGTCGAAGGAAGACCCCAACGTCGCCTAAGCCAAAGGACCTAACCACATCACCCGCGCCTCCAGTTCGTAATGTTAACAAGGTCAACCGAACATCATCTTACGGTGTCAAGACTCTGCTTCACCATCAGGATGAATCGGAGATTACTGTAAAACCTGCCGAGAGAGGCTACCTCCCTACCCAAGTTTCAGAAGCGGCCGATGTCTCTAGTCTGTCGTCGCCAGGTGGGAAGCCTGAATCCCCTCAGATGATATATATAATCGCTAATTCTCGGCTACGGTAGATTCCACGTTGTCGAAATGGACGGATCCATCTGCTGTTACCAACAGCACTGGCGTCGGGGCTTCCGTGAGCGACGCTACTACCAGTACGAAGTCGGAGTATTTGATTCAGACCCTAGGGCCATCTTCATTCATTACAAGAACTACCGAAGTCGTATACTCGCCCCATGATCCAGACACGGACATCAACCAGTTGATTTCCGAAGTCCACATCTCGGCTGGCCGGACAAAGGCCTCAACACCACCAATACCGGATTTTTCAGACAGAACGTAAGTCTACGAAACTTATAACGTGGTGACCCAGATTCGCCTAATTATTTTCTAGGAACTTCTTAGCATTTGATGATCCTGGCTCTACTAGACCATCTTCTTCTAGATCGCCGCATACGCCACCCCCTATCGAATTCCAGAATAAAACTGGCATATATACTCCAGGATGGAATGGTATCGACAGGCTGGGAAATGCGGACGCTTGGAAGCCTCCCCACGAGTGGGATTGCACTCCGAACAGAGAAGCGGTAACCCAGTCCGGCGAGGAAGGATTGCATAATTCATTGATCAGTGACGATTCCGACAGGTGTATGTCTCCGAGTCTTGCGGCGCTACAACGTGAAGTTCGAATGATGGCAGCAGCAAGTCCAGAGCTCATGCTTGCCAACATCAAATCTAGCATGGGCCATTCCTCGGACGCAACGGTTTACAAAGAACTTGAGATGACTAAGAAACGTTGGATGTTTTCTGCTTTACAACACGAGGGATATGTTCCGCTCATGGAGTGCGCAGATAGCTGTCCCGGGAGTCCGGATTCGTCAAAAACCCCTGGATCTGCTAGGATCCTTGCACTCTACGAATCTCAAGGTATGTACCCCAGTAAGGAGGCAGTTTCCTTGAAGCCTTCCTAATGATACATACCTAACTAGCATCTGCTTCGTTTCTCGCTGCTCTACACCCGCAAGCCTCGGTATCACACTTATCGCCAAAGCCAATATCGCCAAGCTTATTCCCAAACGTCCAACCATTACTTGTGCCGGTGATATCTGCATCGGCAGGTTCTCGGCCGCTTGCTCCACAGCTATACTCAACTGTAACATGTCTACCTATGCCTGCACTATTTCCTTCGAGCGAGATCCCACCACTTCTCCGTCACATATACCGCTGCCTTGCCCCCGGCGGTGCTCTACACTTAACCCTTATAGACCCCCAACCAGTCTCATCTTCAATGGGTCCAAAACTACGACAATGGCTATTCGAGAATCTCTTGATACAACTCGAGAAGAAGTGTCGTACTACGTTACCAAGTGACACATTTCCCGCCTGGTTAGCTGTTGCGAAACTTCGTGGATTCGGAAGCACCATCACAACTATTTCTGTACGTGCGGTACACGAGTGCGCTACTACGACAGAAGATATGAAGGACCAAACATCGGTAGAAAGTGAGCTCCGATGTCTCATCTCAAGAATGTTGTGGCAAGAGATATGGGGGAAATTCGTCCACGCCGACCGGTGGTGGTGGGAGGAGGAAGACATAGTCCAGGAATGTCTTGAAAGGGGGACTTACTGGCAGTACTCCCACATCGTGGCAGTCAAAAACAATAGGCAATCGTCTTAGCCTAATTCCTACTATATACGAAAACTATGAGTAGAGGAAGGGTTGGACGTTACATGCAGAGTCATTTTTTCGGGAATTGGGTTATCAAAATGGTAAGCAACTACTCGAGCTACCTGATCGTATGGTCGTTTGAGAAAAACTATTCGACAATACTGCGCTTTATATGCTGCTAAGGACGCAAGGCGCTTTTATAGTAAGTTATCTGAAAAGCTGTCGCGCTATCTAACACAGCGAGTCATATTCACTCTTACCAAGGCCTAATATTAGTGGAAGATACCCGGATGCGAGTCTTTCGTTTAGTTGATATTCATTTGGTGCTCTCTCGCTCTTGTAACAGATCATATGCTAACTTTGATTATATTATCACCTTAAGCATTTCTAATAAGTGAGCGAGAAACCGCTGAATGTACCTACATTTCCGTGCCTGGAACTGTTGTAGCTAGAGCAAAATAAAATTAATATTTACTTTGGGTACTTCTTATGCGTGTACGTAGGTAACGCTGTCCCTTCTATTTTCGTGCTTCCTCGACATGGGAATTGTATTCCAAGCCTATAACTTTTGCTCTTAGAATGAATCTAGGCGCTGGCCCGACGGTTTGGGTCTCCGAAACTAGATGATATTGTTCGTTCTAGAACCATAATAGTTGGACCCTCGATGTTAGGGAATATTCCGTGATGTCATTAGGGAGTATGGATGGTCGCAAGAGGGCGGCGAGCTGGTGCATCTGTACCTCTTGCTACCCGAGTTACGTGCGTTTGGAAACGGCACAAGCAGCCCGCTTACTGTACGGTTAGGTCGGCTGGCTTAGTCGCTAATGAATCTCACGACTACGGGGGTTCTTCTTTAGAGCAGCTTGACTTGACTTTAGAGTAGCTTGACTTGATCCTTTCTAGAAATATCGTGTTATTTAGGTAGGTATGCATCAAAGCATCTTAGCTTGTACTCCCCCTCCCATCGCCATCCGCTTCACTCTAGCCCCTATTCTCCGCCACCACCCGGTGCGACGTTACAGCAGAAGTACCAATCTGGCGTCACCGTCAATCCTTCGATTCTCACCTCCTCGCGTAGTCTCGAGCGCGGTCGAGGTTGAAGGCGGCGCTGATCAGGGCTAGGTGGCTGAAGGCCTGGGGCGTGTTGCCTAGCTGCTCGCCGCTGCGCGCGATCTCCTCGGAGAACATGGATAGGTGGTTCGAGAAGCTGAGCATGTTCTCGAAGAGGTTGACGGCGCGCTCGAGGTATCGCGGCTCGTAGACCGAGGCGCGGGTCAGCGCTTCGACGAGCCAGAAGGTGCACATGCTGAATGCGCCTTCGTGGCCGCCGACGCCTGGGGGGGTGAGTTGTGTTAGTAAATGCTATGCATACAGGTGTTTCGGTGGATGGTGTCGGGGGCTTACCGTCGTTAGCGAGCTCCGTGTTATACCGGTAGACCAGGCCTGCGCTCGTCAGGCCGCCTTTCTCTGGCGCGAGAAGGATCCGGTCGACGGTGTTGAGGAAGCGCGGGTCGTTGGGCGTGATGAAGAAGACCAAGGGCGCGATTAGGATCGAGGAGTCGAGGATGGTGTTGTTTTCGTAGCTTTGGATGAAGCTTTCCATTTCTGTGTTGTAGCCTGGTCTCCTGAGTTAGTCTGGGGATGATGGCGAGGGAGGTAGTGTGAAAAGAAGGAGGGTTGTTTGCCTTTCTCCATGACCTCTTCGTAAATGGCGTCTCGGGCCTCGAGCCATTTTGCGCGGTTGGGACACGGAAGACAGCGTTTCTCGGCGAGGCGGAGACCCCGGTCGAGGGCGACCCAGAGCATTATTTTCGAGTAGACGAAGTGTTGTTTGTTGTTGCGGACTTCCCATATCGACATATCCGGTTCTTGGAGGTCCTCTAGTTAACTCTTAGTTTCCTCTAGATGGTGGTGTTTTACACACCGTGAAGTATTGTTAGAACGTGGTCTGTCTAAAGTCAGCTATTGTGTTTTTCGTCCGGGGTTGTTTGACTACACGACTTACCAAGCATTTTGCGAACGGAAACCCATGTGTCCCATGATATAGGCTTTCCATACTTGTTGTAAAGATATATGGCGTCCATAAGTTCGCCATATGTATCGAACTGCTTGTGGAACGCGGCTCCGTTGCCGATTCGGACCGGTCTACTACCTTTGTAGCCGTCGAGATGGTCAAGCTCTTGCTCCGGTATATCGGTCTCACCCCTAATAGTAAACATGATCGGCAGATCGCTGCCCTTCGCCGTAGTCTTCTGCAGTATTTCACTGATGAACTCCATGTAAGCGTCCGCTTCTTGCGTAAACCCCATCCGTAGCAAGATGTAGATTGTGAAGCTGGAATCTCGAACCCAGGAGAAACGGTAATCCCAGTTTCTACACCTAGTTAATTATTGTTATTTCCTCGCAGCTTACATAACAGAAATAGAACCTACCGAACTCCACCGATCGCTTCGGGTATTGAAAATGTAGGGGCCGCGACTATGGCCCCGGTGGGCTCGTAGGTTAGTAACTTTAATATCATGAAACTCCGGATGACCACCTCGCGCCAGGCGCCCTTATAACTGCTTTTTGAGAGCCAGTTAAACCAGTACGCCTGCGTGTCATGTTGTCGAGCATCGAGGACCGGACTCGTGATGTTCTCCGTAACGTGGTTTGGTATATCCTCTCGAATAACGAACGAAATAGCCTGGCCCTCTTGCAGTGTAAAATTGGCTACAACCCCCTCGCCTTTCATGCCCTCTCTCTGCACCTTTTTGAAAAGAAGGGTCGGGCAAGTATCTGACTCTCCGCCGCCGCAGTCGATAGTCACATCAAGCTGAAGCTTCAGACTATTGCTGTGGAAAGTGACAGTCTTACTCTGAGGACTGTCAACTCCTTGCACGGTTTGCAGTATGGTAGTCGTGTGAGACTCCCTTGCATAATCGAACGCTGGGAAAACGTCCACATCTTGACGCACATTAGTAGCTTGACCTTAATGATGAGGATGAGGAATAATAAACCTAATGACATCTGACCGCGAATGCACTCGACTCGCCGAACTAGCCATTTCTTCAGCTCTTCGTATACACTCCTGGCCTCGCGATAGGCACTGTGCTTATGTTTCGTAGACAGAACGGTAGACTCCTTAGGACGGGGGAAAAAGTCCACGACGTCGACGACGCCTTCTTCGCTAATATAGCGAGTTTGTAGAATGGCGGCTGATGGGAGGTATTGCTGCTTAGTTGTGCATGATGCGGGCTCAGGGGGGGCTATACTAAAGTAGCCTCCCTTATACTTGTCCAGGAGACGGCCAAACACGGACGGAGAGTCAAAATCTGGCCTATGACTGAAGTTAGCTTAAATTCTATTTCAAAACTACTTCTTATCTTGAATAAGTTTAAAGTTGTTTATATAGCAAGAGACAGTTAGCGATAGGTCACCTTGCTTTATTTTCTCGAACTCCTCCCTTTCGGAGAGACTAGGTAGACTAAGGTCAAATAGAAACCTGGAACGACACTATAATAAGGAAGCCTCACCAGCACATGAAATCTGATTGGGTAAAGCGTTGTATTGTTAGCTTTTTTGATATTTGATACAAATTTTAAACTTAAGTAAAGAGGCTTTCACTCACCTATACTCCCATCCATACTTACTAACGCGCAAGTTCTCATATTCCCAATCATTCCATAATTCTCAATCGGAAGATACCCAGCAACGTCTCTTGTAGAGACGTTGAGGATATCACACTTGGCAGTAGCCATGGCGAGTGAAAGCGAGGCCTGTCGGAGTTAGGGTGTGAGAACGGAAGCTTCGGAGTCTTGAAATGCCTATTTTCTTCTTACGATATCTATCAATAATTATGAGAATACTTGAGTACTTTTCCTAATCCGTAAGTCTTAAAGTGGTATACGTCAATGCCTTGAATAATAAAGCTGAGTTGCTGGCTATAGTCCTGACATCATACTAAAGTCATGAAGTAGGTTGGGAGAGCTCTAACCTAGTGTAAGCTTTCCATGATTCCCGGGGCGGCTAGTTGTTAGTGCCCATTGCATTATATAATCAGTCACTAGGACTAACATCATATACATATGTGTCTTAGTAAGGCCATTGCATGAAGGCAGCTTATGCGCGTGTGCCTTATTCCCACGGTACAGTTGAGACATTTCGAGACTGGTGCACGGTTAGGTAGAGGACTTTGATATCTTACATAGGTACGAAGTAGCTAACCTAGTTATCTAGCTTAGCTAACCTAGTTGATACTTGGTAATGGGTAAGCTTTAGCTATGTTGTTTATATACGTCATCAAGTTGATTATAGCCGTTTCAGAGGAGTAACCTCGGCTATTGCAGGGCAGCCCTGTACATACATTCATGTTGTAAAGGGTCGTGAAGTTAAGCCGAGGTCACATCGTTTTTCGGGGGTTTGTTATACATACACTACACCTACTTAGGTAAACTGTAAATCGTATTGACTAACCGGGGACGGTTGACAGGTATCTCTTCCTAGGTGCAGAATACGGCAACGTCTTAGTAATACTAATGGTAGCCTGCTAATACAAATCTGGGAGAAATGTGACCGAAAGTGTATTTAAAGGATCAAATTTCTCTAAGTCGTATAATTCGACAGGCTGCGAGTAGATAAACGGGTATAGTTGGGTTTTAAGGTTCTGATGTATGAGGAACTTTTTAGATCCAAAAATAGACTTATCTAGGTAGCCTTACATGGAGATGGTTGGCTAGATCGTATAACTACCTTATTTTAAGTACCCGCAGCATTAGCGCTTAGTGCCAGTACCTTTATTGTTGTATCTATTAATTAAGTGAGTACATACCTAGGTTATTACTTGGATAGTAGTGCAATACGGAAATATTAAATCTGTTAGTTGTAATAAAAATTTAAGCCTTTGATGTTCATAGTAGAATTCGATTTGTTTAATCTACATTTCTAGGTGATAGTAAAGTTGTTTCGATCGAGCTTCTAACCAGGGCTACATACTGCACCCATACCTGGGATTGTACATAAGTGGACGTACCTACATACCTAAGGTACATACACTATGTATGTACATATATCTCAAGACCTGCCAAGATGTGATATGTGAAGACGCAAGTACCCGGAGTTATTTGTACACAGCATGTGGCTGGTCAATATTAAGCATTATTGAAGCATTTTCCCGAATGTAATATATATTCTCATTTTGTACATGATAATAATAAAGACAAAGCTTAGATTTGTATACGATGCACTAACGATAGCTCTCTTACCATTTTGGTCGATATATCTGTTCCAATTAGGTAGTTAGGTGCAACCAGAAGTGTACATGAGGCCTATGTATCTTTTATAAGGTCATTATGGTTTCAGCTGGGTTTAGGCTTAATAACGAGGTACGGCACCCATTACCCATTGCATCGCCTAAATTAGGTACTTGCGATACAAGGTATGTACAATACCTAGGTAGGTAACATGTTCCAAGGGGAGCTGCCCATTGCTGCGCAAGCCTTAGTTAGTAGGTACCTAACATGTCCATAATATATGCCGGTACCACTTACCTACAGCGTATTACGGCGTACAATACATACATGAGAACCTTACCTAACATACAAGGGACATTACATGCCTTCCATTATTACTTGCCTCAATCAGGTCAGAACCAATTGTTACATATGTACCATTGCCTGCCTGCATTGCTAAACTATTGCTACCAATTGTTACTCCGCCCCCTCCAATCGTTGCTCCATCGTCCCCTATCACAAGGATCATAAGGATCACTCACAAGGGGGCGCGCGCAAGGACGAGAAGGTCTACAATATTCTATCTTACCCCAGCGTTAATCTGCCGCGTCACCTCCCATTTTCTTTGTCACACATCTTCATTTCTATTCTCATTGGTTCCCCACTCGATCTGCTTCAACTTTGTGCAATATCACAGGCCGAGACAAGTCGTTCATGAGAAACGATAATCTTGTTCCCCTTTCTGTCCAGATGCGACCATACCAAATAAAAAATAGACTTCTATTGAATCATGGCGTAGCACTACTATCCTGAAATATCGTCAACATCCTCACTTATAACTTCTTGACCTTGGCGTCATTCGTAGCACTCTGTCATGTCTGCTAAAACTCAAACGTCCGATATGGACGAGAAGCCAAGTGCCGCCAGCGGCAAGCTCTTGCCTTCAGCCTTTGACAAGCTTCCAGACGAGATTATAGAGCAGTAGGTTGATGCTGCTATAATAGCTATGTTGATAATTGACAGCTGACATGTTGATTAACCTAGAATACTTCAATTGACCGATCCTAATTCGTTTGCGTCTCTTGTCCTTCTTAATTCAAAATGGAGGCGTGTTTCCCAGCAAGCCCATCTCTACGCACACCACCTCCTGCGATGCAAATCCTACAGCGCCAGCCACGCCGTCGTACCTGTCGCAAAGTCGGATGATGAAAACTTACCTAATCTGCGCCGCTTATTCGCACGAGAAGTCAAGAGAAACCTTTTTGAGGCCTACTTACGCCCTAAGACGACTACAATAAGACTGATCTCTAATTGTATCGGATCGTCCTCTGCCCCCGGTGGCGAAGGAATGCAATTCAGCTCCTCTCCTAGGGGTCATCATCTACTCGCGTATAACTCGTCCCGAATATTTGTCCTAGATGTTAGAGAACCCGAACTGGTTGTTAAGCGGGAGTTTAAAATATTACGCCGCCCAGCGGCCGCATGCATTTTGGATGATGGTAGTCTCTTAGCAGTATTATCGACTGACATGCAGGTTGATTTATATGACCTGGGAAAGGTTCCACCTCGCCGAACCCAGTCGCTAATCTTGGACCATGCCCCTCGTGCGATTACCCTGTCTCCATGTGGAAGTGTGCTAGCAGCTGCGTACGAAGGTGGCATTGAAGTGTCTTCTATAAGCCCTGGGGCTCTTCCAACAGATCGAAGGGCAGTGAAATGTGATGGTGTCGATTCCCTCGCTTTTTCGTACGATGGAACACAGCTTTTAGGCACGACGACAGCATCCTACACGCCTAATACGGTTATCTTGACAGCTCCGTATTACGATCCCGGAAATCAAATGTCCCAAGAAAATAACATTAGTGCACTATGGACTACTTCTATTCTATTTCCTAATACGAGCCGGGACTGTAGTCATGCTGCCCTACTGCAAGAGTCAGGCTCTATGGAGGCAACTTGGGCGTTTGCTTATGACAGAAGTTTTGAGACCTTTCGCGCCGTGCGGATTGATGACCTTCGCAATGGAACAACATATTTCACAGGGCCGACCCCAAACACTCCTTCGCCTGGACCCTTGTTGCCATGTACCCTACCCGCTGCCAATTACCAAGGAGACCTCGTCTCAGCTGGATTTGAAGGGAAAGATGTTTGGTTGTATGGTGTGCCCGAAGACCTAGAAGCAGTTCCGGAAGCCAACCATGCGGCATCCGATCTAAATGGACCGCCATCATTAAACCGTATGAATAGCGGAGTTTCAGCACGCTCATCTACTCGAATGCAGGAGGTGAATGGCGGCCGAGTTCCGCAGTGGCAGATTTTATGCGACAAGTATCGCAACACGTTCGTATGCGGGCGCAAAATTACACAATTATGTGGTGTGAGCCATATGAAATGGGTATCCGGGTTTGGTAATATGTCTTCACAAGAACGATTGATTATTGCTGCTCGAGGTGTGATGCCCCCTAAACTTGTAACTGAGGAAGACGGCATCGACTTCGTGGATGGAGGGAGAATCACAATCCTTGATTTCGACTACAGTTTGGTAGACGGCGAAGAAAAGGAAATTACTATTGAGGTTGGCGCAAACGAACCGGAAGCACTAGAAGAGGAGCATCGCGACATTGATGCAGAAGTAGCTATCGTTAGGCGGAGAACGGTGGCGCAGCGGAGAGGGAACCGGGCCAGTGTGATGACTATGGCATCGACTACGTCCCGTCAAGTTGATGTATTATTACGTCCGTCGACCGCTCATAACGATGATTCGGAGGATCCGCTAGTACCACGACCTATGGCCACAGCACGCACTAACTCCCACGCAGCGGCGATTGAAGAAACAGAAGATGTCTCCCTGGAGGAGGCCCAAGAAGCACTCGATGCTCCGTATGCTCATGCTAATCCACGATCCGGAACAACGCTACGCCGCGCTGCAACTGCGGCAGCAGTGAATCGCCGACGGAACCCGCAGCCTGTGGCTGGTCGAGTTGAGTATCGACGCGCTGATGGGAGGGCTGAGCATCCTCATGAAAGTGATGCTGATAACTGGGTACCTCCACCACCACCATATACCAAGGAGGACCCTGGTGATTTACCCGATTTCATGCGTCACTCCGTACACCACTCCGTCATTCCCGGTGTTGGAATCCTACCGGGTAGCAGGAGAGACTCTATCCCCCCTGTTCCTCCTCTTCCATCTTCTATCCCACCAATTCCGCCGGTCCCGTCCGTTCCATCTAACCTACCCCCGCGAATGTCTATGACACCTAATTTTAGCCGTCCGGAGTTACCTCGTCTACAGACAACTCCTCTACGGGATAGGCCATCCCACATGTCTTGGCATCCTCACGCTTCGCAGCAAAGGGTGGCAGATACCTCTATAAATGCTAGTCGATCTGCTGGGCCTGCTGGGGTGCATTCTTACAGACCTGTGTCAGCTCATTCCTTCACGCAAGAACGCCGGCCCAACGTGGATGATGAATATGACGATATTTACGATGTATCTCCCGTTGGATCACCTTCCAGGGCTACAAGCTCCCACGTATCTGAGGGCCCCGCTGTGGTAAATGTAACGCCGGAGCGGCATAGTCCATACCAAATGTCAGCGGCAGCGCAGCCCTCAATTACTGAATACACACCTGCCTCGTCTGGATCGCATCAAGTCGTAGGGGGCTCCCGTTCAGGGTCGGCAATTCCTCATTCTCTCGGTCCTACTACCCCGTCATCTACGACGAACGTCCCGGGATGGAATGACGAGCAGACTAGTAGCAGCCCAGTTGTGGGCAAACTCCCAAATGCTTATACCTGGCCAAGGGCCCCGCCACGACCCGATACAGCTTCTTCGGCCTCTTTTACTAGCTATCCCCGCTCTGCTCCAGCAACGGACCAGACTAACGAGGATATTATAGCTGTAGCTCTACCTCCAACGCCACACTCGGAACGAACGACACGTTTGCATAGTAGGCAGACTAGTTATGATGTGCCCCGTCCTATGTCAAGTGGTTTCCACCTACCGCGCGTACCTGTAGGTAGTCGAGGTAGCCAATTTCGGGAACTTCGACGAGGTAGTGTACCTACAATACAGCCAGTATCGGAGCCTGCCCAGCCGCTTATAATTAGCACGCCCACGGGTGTAACTGGTGCATTCGATGCTCCCGGCCAGCTAGATGTAGGTAGACAACAGGCGGGGCTAGTCTTGCATGCGCCAGTTCCTCGTCATCCCCGACCAATATCGGGAGCACATTTACTGCGCCCTACCGTCGAGCGTCTAGAAACAATCTCTGGCGTTTCCAATGGCGAACCGCACCCACTTCCACCGCCACCTCCTTCTTCACAGCTTACCTCAACGTCACTACGCCATCATACAAGTTTAAATCGCCGACAAAGTCGGGCTAGGAGGGGAGCATTAAAGAATATACAGGATGCTAAGCTCCGAGGGTGGACGGGACGAAAGAAGAATAAGAAAAAGGACGATACTGATGGCTGGATGGATGTGACTTGGGCAGCTGCCATCCCGAGAGGCCAGGGCAAAGATAAAAAGTGTATCGTGATGTAGAAGAAAAAAGGAATTGGGTATGCAACAAGGTGTTGGCGTACGAGTATCACGAGTATCACAACATACCAGACGTTGGATTTAGCGCCAGAGCCCACTCGATGGGCTCCTAGTTTTGGGCAACTAAAAATCTTACTACCAGTCCCATGCCCATGTGGGCTAAAAAGAGAAAGGGACTATTTCATTTCGGACGGATATATCGGTTCGTCTTTAGGATAAGCAGCTGGCGTATGGATCTCACTCGCTCGAATTTGGGTTGAACTTTGGGGATATCAAGAGCAATACGTGTGTATGATACCAAAAAGCAATCAAACATACCTACATACCTTAGGTACTTATATGTAGACCTGCCTACCTATGTATGGTAGGTTTTCATTTTCATTCTAATGTACTCTAGATACGTATAGGTTAGGTACCTACATGTACCTATATAAATAACCCTCTGGACCTACACGTGTTCGGACGGAAATATATCTAGGGCCGCGTTTACGAGAGCATTCATCATACTCATCGGTAGCTGACAACGATATTACTTATGATGTATGAGATGCGTACTTTCAACCCACATATGGCTCTAACCTAATGATCTAACCTATGTATGTATGTTAAGCTCTTTCGGGTTTCCGCCTTTCCCCTGAACTAGCCGGCCAGCCTCCTACGGCTCCTTCTATTATGAGGCGTTCGATTTGTAAAGACCTTGGTAATAGCCTTGAAGCGAGGTGTATTCATGTATTCTCGACCGACGAGCGGTTCAGTCTATCTCGATAAGCTTATGCTCAAAGCACGAGGGTGCCGATCCCTCCTTCGGCTATCTTATAGTCAAGGGCAAGGGCGATATAGAAACCACGTCACTGCTAACGTTACCTCCTTCGCTGGGGTAGGTAGTCACGGTAGACAGGGAAGTAGATGGTTTTAAGAGTAAAATTGGACTAGGGGGTATTCTACTGTGCAAAACGCACACCAAGCAGAGTATGCTTCATATACCAATAGCAACGCCAAACCGTACTCCCTCAAACCCGTTGATGCCAACGCCGTAGGCCATGCAGAACACATGCGTAAGGCACCTATGTATAGATAGACCCTCGTATCGTGTCTTGGGGCTAAAATATAGCTCGGTGTGTGATAAAGACAATAAGACGAGAATCATATTCAGGCCAGAGCCGATATCCCTCGGTATCTCTCGGGGTTTAGAATTTCATCTGGATCGGTAGCAATCCAAGTAGCTCAGTAGCTCAGAAGCTCAGAATTCCATATCTATCATAGCCACGTCCTCGTCGGCAAGTGAGCTCAGGCCCGAGCTAGGAGGCCTTGACTCGATGTCGACAGTTTCGGGTTCAGGGGGGCGCTGCGACGTCTCGTGCATCTTACGTGCCCAGGCGTGTATGCTGTTCTCACTTCCGCCTTCTGGGACGACCTCGCCTTCGACGATGCCTCGGCCTAATAGCGTACCCGCGTACTTAGAGTCTTGGTCCGTTTTGTTGTGCTTCCGCTTAAGCGCTGTGGTTTGTGTTTGTTAACATAAAGTATGATATATATAGGGTCTGTGTAGAACATACCACTCAAGTAGTCTGTCCCGCGCTGTTCCTCTACTCCTTCTACACCAACATCGCCGGCGGCTGGTTTGTCCAGAGCCGCGACCATGCGAATCCTCCGGTTCTTGCTCCCCTTAACCCAACGTATGAATTCGTCAACCCCTCTCATGTCCTCCTCCCCGCTTACTTCTTGAGCCGTGAAGTCGCGTTCTGGCCACAGAGCACCGCAGTCTTCGAGAGCGAGGCGCACATCGACTACGTCGGGAAGGCCTGGCACACCCACCTCGTTGTTAAGTGCCGCGTGCTGCGCGGTGCGTCGCGAGATAGCGGTAAGATAATTTGCAGCGAGCTCGGTCAGCGCGTCAACCGTGCTGGGCGTCGATGAGTAGTAGCCCTGTGCGCGGAGGATCTGTAGGATGGCTGGACGTAGGAGAGCGTGATGGATCTCGGAGGCGGTAGGCGCGCGGTGAACCTGCTGGGCGTATGACGACATTGCGAATATCTCCTATTATCTGATATCGCGAGACGCGGCCGTCAAGAATGTTGGATGGGACGAATTTCGTCGCCCCACCTAGGATTATCTGATTGTAAGAAGCGGACGTTTGGAAGGTAAGGATTGATCGAGTAGGTCGTATCGAAGATCTTTACGGGGTGTAAGCTTTCTTTCAAATCGACAATCGTGGACTTCGTACATTAACTTGGATTGATTTGTCAATCGTAAGGAGGCCCGGCTCAGTATGACTGGCCAATAATGTAGTACTAGTACTTGATCTCAAAGTAGCAACAGTGTGACCAGATTGGGATTGAGGTTTTCGCCGATTCGTTGAGGTTGGTCGAATTATAGAAACGCCTATTGAACTATACGTATTGTAGAAGGTACACAGCGGGGATAAGAACCAGTCGCGAAAAGATATGCGTGAGCTAGGGGTCCAAGACGTGCTCTGCTTTAAGAGGATTGAAGATGGCGGTTGAGTGGTTGTTCTCGAGAAGTAATGTATAGTCGAGCTTGGAGCTTAGAGCTTGGAAATTGAATAGATGCCAATTCGAAGAAAACCGAGAGAATATATCGAGTAACTTTTTACTAGCCGTATTCGAACGATCCTGTCTGATTATCCATCTGATCAGCAAGTCCTAGCAGTAGTTGCCAACTCGTTGCGCCATATCAGCCAGCATCCGTGCTATTTACAAGTTGCACATTATTTAGAAAGCTGGGAGAATCGCTCTTCAACTTTTCAAGGTTGAGTTGAGGGAGAGCAACCTGCAAGAGCAAAGCTAAAGAGGCTCCACTTCGACCCACACGTACCAAAGCCAGGCAGGCTGGCAGGCACCTGAGGCGGGCGCTAACTTTACCTTCGTTTGTTTCCAGTAGGTACACGATATCTTTTTACGTATGTAAGTACCTAGGTACCTCCTACGAAGTATGTTAGGTACCTAGGTACTTCCAACTCACGGCCCCACCATCTGTATGTGCGCGGCGCAAGTCCCGATTCAATGTTACTTCTTCATTACATACCTAACAGACAGACAGAACATCTACCGGCTACCTTCTAGATGCTGGTTTGGTCCATAACATAGAGGATTAAATCTCACCATCCGAGAGTCTAACTGCATAGTTATTACTTTCGCCTATCCAAGTACACTCTTCATCATGTCATCTATCAACGTAAAGCCGACTCTCAAGCTCGACACGTCGCAGAAGATGCCGCCTCCGTCGAATCCTGAAAACCCGAGACCTATCCTCAAGCTCAATACAGCATCGCGAAAACCTTCATTCAGCGGCGATGCTGGCACCCCTACGCCATCTGGAGAGAGCCGGAAAATTAAGATCAAGATCAGTAGTCAACCGACCACGCCAGCCGCTACACCCGTCGCCCAGATACCAACTTTAACCAAGTCCAAAGCCGGTAGAACGTCCAAGCCAACGCAGAAGCTTGTTGAATCGAAGAAGCGCCCGTACGATAGCGATGAAGATCGACCATTGTCTGTCACTCGACATGAATCGAACCGGCCTAGCAAAACAATCAAGATTAGACCGACTATATCGAAGCCGGATCGCGCATCAAACGTGGCGTCGACGCCTATTAGCACCATCAAATTCAAGCCTAGAGGTGAACCTGTCCAGCATCATCCTGGAGATGCTTACGACTCCGAAGCTAGCGACCGTGAGGTTGATCCTGTCCGGGAAACTACATTTATTCTTCGCGTCTTGCCAGGAGCAGCGACAGAGTACTTGAAAAAGGCATTGGCTGAAGGCACTATCGGTTTGCCCAAGCAAAACGGAGGCGCGGATTTCGGTGTTCAATTTCTCGATGCTAAGCAGCGACGAGCTATGGTCACCATCGATGGAACCCACTACGCGGCAGTTCTTGTCCAGCTACCAACCATTACGGAGGCGATGAAGTCTTGGGATCGCAAAAACATGATGAAGAACTCTGATATTGTTGAGATGCTTTTATGCTTTGCAACTGTCAAGAGCGAGGCCGAAGCCAAAACGATCCCACTTCCACCTATGGCTGCTAAAAACGACTATAAGTGGCCTCACGGTCTTACCCCTCCCATGCACGATGCTGTCCATCGACGATTCAGAAAGACTGTATCAGAGAAGCAGTGGCAGAGCACTGCTACTCAAGTAGCCAAACTCCTCGAGGATGACGCAAACGCCTTAGAATCCAACACTGAACTCATCTACAATGAGGGCGAGGACTCCGGAGATTCCGACGACGATGACGACGACGAAGAAGATGCTGAAGGTGAAGCTGAGGACTATTTTGGAGACCATGCTGGTGCCCAGGACGACATGGAAGAGGATGCTGAAGACGATGAGATGTTAGCAGCCATGGAAGCCGAGCTCGCAGAGAGCGGAATGCATCATGAAGAGCCTGCAGCGGCCACGCCAGCCATGCAAATAGATGCACAAACTCCTATGACAGTCGAAGGAAACACTCCCGCGGCCATGCAGGAGATCATATCAGAAGAAGATGAAGATGACGACGACGATGAAGATATTGAGGATGGTGACGACGACGACGACGTCGACGAGGAGCAGTTGGTGGCGGAGCGAGAACGCAAAGAGAAGCTCGACGAGATTGAGCATCTAAAGAAGTCACTCGATGAGACCCTACGCCAACTTTCTGAAGTCACGGCGCCAATCTTGAAGAAGCGTGTCCTTCTCACAAAGGCCAACCTCGAAAAGGAGATTGCCGTCAAGAAAGCTGCGCTGGGCTTGACAGACGAAGATTAAAGGCTAGAACGAATAATCGCGCATAATATAGAATGCGTGTGCTAGAAAAGGAACGGCATTGTAAGACTAGAATACGGCTCGGAACGATACCCCTTAGTGCTACATAGGCGAAGTAGCTTGAATACTCAATTAATCAGTTAAATACTCTTTACTTACTGTCCTGTACTCGTGACACCGAGAATTCGATCTACATGACGTTAGATTGTCTGTTACGGTATATAGTGCCTGTCCTTTGGTATATTTGATTTGGTATATTTGATTTGTATATAGGTTTAGTGACAGGTTTAGTGACAGGTTTAGTGGCGTATAGTACATCTCGGGCAGAAAAGCGACTAGGTTACGGTCCAGACCACACCATAAACCATAGACTACATGCTCTTGAGGTAATTGCTTTCCTTAATCTTGGCCCTCCGCTCCTTGCGCATGGCCTTGCGCAGATCCTCTCTCGCTTGCTGCGCCGCGACGGCGCCCTCTATGGTGCCCTCTTCGTTGGCGGGCAAGTTGATACTCTGGTGCTGTAGTGGAATCTTGGGCGCCAGGGCTTCGATATTGCCCTCGAGTAGGAGATGGGCTTCCATGAATCGTTGTCGCTTGGCGGCTAGACGTCGCTGTTTCTTGGATTTTGCTAGAAGGGGGGGTTAGTGGGGTGTCTGGGATTCTTGGATGGTATGGATAGGTCGAGGTAGGGTAAGGGAAGCAAGGGCAACCGAGAAAAAGGAGAGACAGAAGAAGAGAAAAGAAGGGGGGTTGCTTACAAAATTCATCACCGGCATCATCGTCCGCCTCCTCGTCCGCCTTCTTTTGCACCTCTAGACACTTCCACAGCCACTCCGGATACGCATCATCGGCTAGCGCAACAGGATCTGTCCGGTTTTTGAAGTAATTAAGACCCGTCAGTATGGTTCCCTCCGGACACGCCGACAGCACAGGCTTTTCCTCGGTAGCGGCGTCGGCTAGCGGCGTGCTGAACACGGGCGGTTCGCTCGTAGACGGTGATGGTGGTTCGGGAGCGGGAGAAGATGTCCGGCGCGCAATAGTGCTGGAGAACGGCCGTAGGAGCGGGGCCGGAGTTCTAATAGGCATGCGCGAGGTGAGCGCCGAGGCTCGCTGGAGACATCGCTGGCATATCATAGCGAATGCTGTTGGCTACTTGCGTGGGATTGCGCAAGACGCTGGTGGGATAAGGTATGGATTTTAGAGCACGAATTATCGAAGCTCCAGAATTTTTGTAAGAGTCGGAGCTTTAGGTTAGTTTTCGCCGATGACAATTGGGGCGGGAGGCTACGGACCCGGTTATGATAGGGATAAGAGCCTTATGTAATTACATACCGGCCTCTTTACAGCTATGAGCTATTAATTAGATATCCTAAGCGCGAGTATAACCAAATTATTTGCTTTTTTAAGTCATTAGGCGGGATTTATGTCGTTTTCACATTGAGATTGTTGTTAAAAATGTACAATACACGGGTTACCGCGGACGGACAAGTATCCGCATCGCACCGGATACACCCTCATGTAAAGAGCTCTGTCCAAAGCAGTCCTCGTACCCTATGCATCTTCATCATGTATGCCATTGATAACCGTAGAACTCATCTTGCCTTTCTTTTTCTCCGTCTATGAAGTCTTCGAGATGTAGTTCTGTTGTTCGAATAGGTAACCCCGTACCCGGTGGTCCTTGAGCATCTGGAGGTATTTCTCTATTGTCTTGTTAGTCTCGTAGCTATAAGTAAACCCGGTGCTCTCTTTTCAAAAGAAATATCTCTATTATCTCATACTAATGTATCGGGATGCCCATCCAACACCCATAGAGCCTCTAAGAACGGCGACGGATCTAACTAACCTCGTAGAGCACCGCACTTCTCCAGGTGGTTAACACCCTCTCGGTAATAGCATTTGCCCAGCTCCTCTCGGACAAGTCGTCCCATCATAACTTGCACCCACTGCTCTCGGATGATAGCATCTTGCGCCTGCTTAAATCTCTTGTTGTCGTCGTAATCAACACCGTCGAATGTGGGAGGGACGGTCGGCTTCTTCGCCAGGAAAGCTTCGGATTCAGGGGTCGGCATTTTGGTCACGAAGAGACTCGGACGATTCAATCCGTAATTGATTGGTTGCTAGGAAGAGAGCTCTAAGTTGCAGTGGTTGAATCACCAGTCTCCGTTATTTCGTAATGGAGCTTCCACCAAGTCAGCAATCAAGCGATTCCAATGTGGTATGCTACATGTACATAGTATAATCACGTGGCTTGTTGATAAAAGTTGTAAAAGTTGTACGTACATAAGTACTTAGGTACAAAGCCATTAACTAACAGAAAGAGCGCTACTTCCGTGAACCACACTAGGTGAGCTAGCGTGAACAAATATGGTTTATTGGGCCGTGCTATCACAAAACTTGAATTAAGCTATCACACAAGCTAGGGCTTACCGCCCGCATATGCCCCACCGGCAGAATGAAATTTTCCTCTGGTCCCTCGAAATTTTTTTTTTTGAGCTACCAACCACGCCTTCTTCTACAGGATATAATACAGCTCCCAATCCATTTCTTCCAACAATCCTTTCTTCCCAACTCCAACATTACACGCGTCGAAGACGATTATCTTAAACAATACCCCAATCTCTTCACTTAGATCCAACAATGGGCAAGGTCAAGCAAGCAAACGGCAAAGCCGCGAAGGCTTCCAAGCCCCTCAGTGCTGTCAAGAATGCCGGCGTCACCAAAGCCACCGACAGCCCCAAAGCTAAGTCCAAGCAGATTGCCAAGGATGTCGCCTCAAAGGCTGTGAAGGGCAAGGATCTTAAGAAGAAGAAGGTCGAGTCCGAGTCCGAGGACTCTGAGTCTGACTCTGACTCCAACGACTCTGGATCTGATGATGCTTCCGGCTCTTCGGATGAAGACTCTGACGACTCTGCTTCCGAGTCTGAGGAGGAGAAGCCTGCTGCAAAGGCCAAGGCTAACGGCAAAGCTGCTAAGCCCGTTGCCAATGGCAAGACCAACGGCAAGGCCAAAGCTAAGGCCGCTAAGTCCGAGTCAGAAGACTCATCCGATTCCGACGAGGACAGCGACGACAGTGATGCTGCCGCCGACGCTAAGCCTACTGCAGACAAGGCTAAGAAAGAGGTATGTTGATTATCAGAACATATTCTATTGTGCCTAGCTAACGCGAATTCAAGTCATCGGCTAAGGACTCGGACGACTCGGACTCTTCCGACTCTTCTGATGCAGAGGAAGGTTCTGATGACTCTAGCGATGCTGATTCTGAGGCTGAAAAGAAGCCTGAGCAGCCGAAGAAGCGTAAGGCCGAAGAAGAGACCTCTACACCCTTTAAGAAGACTAAGACGGATGAGGAGTCTGAGGAGAAGAGCTCTACTCTCTTCGTCGGAAATCTCGGTTGGGCTGTGGATGACGAGAAGCTATACGACGCATTCAAGGATTGCGCCGACCTTACAAACGCTCGTGTCGTCACTGACAAGGCCATGCAACGCTCTCGTGGCTTCGGATACGTCGACTTTGCAAACCCTGAGGCTGCTCAGGCTGCTTTCGACAAGATGAACGGCGTTGAACTTGACAACCGTCCCATGAGACTAGACCCTTCTAAGCCCCGTCCCGCTGAGGACGCTACCCCCAACGCTCGTGCTGCCGACCGTGCCCGCCAACACGGCGATGTCGCGAGCCCGGAGAGCGATACCTTATTTGTTGGCAACCTCCCATGGGATGTTGATGAGGAGATGGTTACTGCATTCTTCGGCGAGGTCAGCGAAGTCAAGAGTGTTCGACTTCCCACCGACCCGTACGTATCTCTATCGATTTTCATCTCCGTGCCTTGACACTAATATTAGAGTAGTGACTCCGGCAACCGCAAAGGCTTCGGTTACGTATCCTTCCAGTCAGTTGAAGATGCCAAAACCGTATATGACGCCAAGAATGGCGCCTACATCGGTGAGGGCCGAAATTCTCGCGCTGTCCGTCTTGACTTCGCCAGCCAGCGACCGCCCCGTGACGGTAACTCGGGCGGCCGTGGTGGTGGTGGCTTTGGAGGTCGTGGCGGAGGTGGCCGCGGAGGTGGCCGTGGACGTGGTGGTTTCGGCGGCCGAGGTGGTGGTGGCGGCGGCTTCGGGGGTCGTGGCGGTGGTGGACGTGGTGGCTTTGGCTCTCGAGGTGGCGCGTCGTTCCAAGGCAAGAAGACCACTTTTTAAAGTGGCATAGCCGCACTAGACTCTATTCTGAGGGTTCTTTGACACACATGACGGTTGGCTTTGTGGGTTCGTCGGCTTCTCCGAAACTATAAACTCCTCTGGAGTTGTGGGCTTTGAGGGCTAGGCTTCTATAAGAAGCTGTGATTTGACCTGTGGGCTTGATCGGAGGGTAACCTCCATGTGGATTCTGAGGGCTTGAGGGTTCGAGGGCTTCAAACTGAGAGCACAGTCATCTGTGCTGATGCTATATGCATCTACGTATATCAGTTTTTTATCAAGTCGGCTTTTCCTTCTGTGGGCTCTGAGGGCTTTTTCAGTCGACGAAGTTGATACGAACCTCCCTATGCTCGGGGCCACGTTCCCAGCATCTGGAGGTGAATCAAGCTTCTAGACTACGAGGGCTTCATGACGGCGTTCGAGGGCATCAAAAAGTTCTTCTCTTTCAAATGCGAATGACTTACGGTTTCTTTACGATTACTCTGACGTTCTGGTCAGTCGGATCTCGGTGAGTATACTCTGCCTTGTACACCCCACAAGCTTAATAGTTACTACCCTACAGCTTCCTTAGGTTAGAAGTGAAACAATTACACCAGTTCATGAAAAGTGTAGTCTTTAACTCGGTAAATGTGAAATGTGCCTAATACCTCGTAACAGTTCGTTCAATTAAGACTAATACAACATGTCGATGCCAGGTTGTTTGAATAGCCATAAGAGTATATTCGAGATCGTAGTCCCTAACCAGCTACGCTAGTACCTGTTCCATAAGGCCTTAGGTCGTAAAGCCTTGTAACCTCAACATATTGCTTTAAGGCATAATAACCCTTTGGTTATTCGTAATCCCCTATCCACACCAGTAACACCATTGGGCGTCATAACCTTATTTATTATTCATGCGGTTTAAAGAGAATTGGCTCTCAAAGATTATAGCCAGTTTTCTGTATTAAATATTAGGAAGGGCGAAGAGGATTAATAAGGTAGGAGTGTCCACGAACCTATACGTACGTTCATATATACCCTTCTCACTGTACTTTATTTGTTTATGAAATAAGTTGGTAATACTTCAGATATTAGAGGCTATCAAGACACTATCTTACAAGGTTAATACTACACAACTATCCACCTAAGCACCTAACATACCATACTGCAATTAATGGTATCATTATTTACAGGTATGTAGACACACCGCCTATGTATTAGATGTACCTAAGACACATTTAGGACGTAGTTGCCTCCGCGCATCTCTAAACCCGCACCTTCATATCCGGGCACACTCATAGCTCTTTCCTTAGGTTCCTGTCCTAAGATGATATCTCAGGCTTATGTGCAAGTGTTCAAATTGATTATCCCACTGTTGCTACCCTTCGTTCCTTCCAAGTCCTAATCCACTACAATCTTTTTAATCTTCGACAGTTTGGCATCTATCTTCCTAACTTTCAACTCTTCATCCCACAAACATATTTCAATCCTAACTTTACCTATAAAAAGTTTACTTTCTTCAACACTTAATACTCTGCTTAATAAATTCTACAGCTTTATATTCGGAAGTCAACATACAAATCCCCTTGGACTACCTATTGTTTACACCACGGTACTTGCAAAAATATAAGATTCATACTCTTTTTCGAGGCACCTTTACAGTGGCTTTACGCAACTATACCAACACCAAAAAGAATTATTCGAAGTTATAAAATCCTACAACAAAATAATATAGATTTTCGCAACCGGCGGTAGCAAATCGATAGACTTTACGCTCCTGGTTTACGCGTAACCCAACAGCTGCATCGTTATCGTCCAACCTACCAAAACATTGTAACAACACACGAAACAACTTCTTGAATGCTCGAATATATCTGCCATTGTTTACATACAATTCCCGGCCCCAACAAACCGTCTCTTTCGTTATGTTAATAACGCCCGAAGCTCTATTCTATAAAGAAAACGACTGAGACATGAGATAGATAGGGTAATCCTAGATGAAGCCCACGACGTTCTATTATCGGCTAAGTACCTAATCTTGACCCAGGCGAGTGTCTTTGGGAAGACTTAAGACAGTTCAATGCAGAATTCAGGGCCCAGTCCAAGAAAACCATCCGCACATTGGTTTCGGATTGATTCTTCACAGGATTTCCGATTCTTCACGCCCAGCTACTTATAACGGTCCTTGTCCAGGCCTACCAGATCCGAAACCTGGACAGTTGTCATAATGTCGCCTACTCACCCGGTGCTAAGGAAACCGTTATCCATTGCCTTCTACGACGAACACAATCTATTCCTTATCCTATGAGTATAGAAGGGAACCGACAATAACAACATTCAAGAAATTAATAGAAACATACGCCAATATTCCCTTCTAAACTCCAGACAAGCCCTCATCTCGTCCAGGAAGTTAAGGCGCAGCTAGGTAGCAAAATGTACATACAAGTAAATTCCAGTATAGAGAGTCGAATTGCTGACTTGGAGCGCCAAATCCGTGCCGTTGAAGCACGGCAACTAAAGCAAAGCAACAACGCAAGAAAGCAGAGCGACAACGCGAAGAAACAGAGCTACAAAGTTGCAATACAACACTAATGGAATATATTACATAATACAAAAACTAGGAACTGGGAGCAACCCTGCTACTGGTGAAGTGTGGGAAACTTTGGACTAGAAAGAGACGACTGAACAAGCCAAGGACAAAAGCGTGCCTAATGTCAACAAAAATATCCAGGGATTTTTCAAACCCCTTTACAGCGGGAGCAACAAGCGGGTGATGGACAGAAGCCAGAGCTGTCGTCAATCGATTATAGCGAATTTATAGGCTTCGCGTTACCGCCTGCACGTACACCTGTAGGGCAGCCTCATGGTGTGTGGGGCTTGGTAACAAACTTGTAACCACATTGGTTAACTAGTGCCATATTGTTAGGATTCTATATGAGATATCTAGAATAGAGGATATCCTGTATGTATAGCTCAAGGTCCTGTAGATACCTAGGTTTAGAGTTCCCTGCGAAGTAATGATGTTATTTTCTTGCTTCTTGCTTCAAC